ACGTCATGGCTGCTTGAGGCAGAATTACATGCAGCACGCTTGCCAAACTGAGATTCAGCTACGAGATTGATTTGCCTGTGGCTGCAGGAGACAATTTCAATGAGCATCTGTCTGGTGAGTATAGTGGAACCTCTATGGGGGGAGGCCTACACCTACAGGTCGTAAGAGGTACCTGAACTATAATTTGCCTCCTCCTCAGCAGTCCCAGAGAGAAAAAAATCTGGAATGCTCAGAAGAAGAAAAAAAAAAAAAAAGGTCGCTAAAAGGCAGCGGCGGGAAAGGAAAGGGGTCCAGTGAGGCGGCCTGGAGGTGGAACAATCGTGACGTACAGCAGTGGAACAGCAGTGGGACAGCAGCGGAGATGCTCCACCTACAGCACAGGGTCTTCGGTTGATCGAGTCACAGCCGGAAGCCTCATTTCAAATCGGAAGACTCCCAACGAGAGGGTGGGTGAGAAGCTGCCCGTCCGGTTGCCTATGCGGTTGCAATCACGTAGTCATCACGCGTTTCCCCCTATTCGTGGCCATTGCTCGTCCTCCTGCACCAGATGTGACAGCTTGCATCGCATCGGATCTAGAGCTCCGAACAGCACTATTCGTCCGGTCGATGAGCACTATGTGCATACATATATGTACGCTCGATTGAGTTTGAACCTAGCAAAGCAAATTGAGCACTCGATGTGGTCAATGCAGACTCGCCCAAGCGATGACTGTCTTGCACGCAGGAATGATTGGATGTGACCAACAGAACGAGCGGTGACACAGAATGCGACAGTAATTATCAGTCACGTAGGTCATACAACAAAGGCCACAAAGGTCAGGGTGGTCAGCCACTTGGCGACAATGAACGAATAGCAGCCAGCGGGATGGGGATGTATATGGATGGGTGCAAGTCTACATAAGTAGGACGATAATGGTGCATAGTGCGCCAACTTCGCTAAGTCCTTTATTCCATCTGACTCCCCATAGCGTTGACTCACGCGTGCATAACGACACATGGTCTGGCTGGGCTAGGACGAGATAGTCTGATTTCAACTGCCACGGCTGTTCGCTGGCTAGAGTTACGACTGTCACATGCATGCAGATGCCCTCAAACCCTCGTCAACACCATTGTAATTCCTTATTATGCACACACAAGCGGCTGAAACTGTCTGACCACACCCTCTCTGGACTCCTTCTGACCCAAGCAGGGTAGGCCAGAGGCCCAGGGTACCTTAGGTCGGCAGGATGGACTTGGGGCGATGGCCGTCAGGTTTGGATCATCTTCAAGGGATCTTTCCCTGGCACTGATCGGGGAGAAGACCAGAAGAGGCCGACGCTCGTCCAATGTACATGAATTTTGGCTCGCAAGCGTCAGGGTTGTATTGTGGGTGAATTTTTGAGGCCACGGATCTTCAGACTTGTAGCCCTTTGGCAGGGGTCGCGAAGGTCAAGGTCTCAGGGGCCGTGTGTGTCTTGGACTCTAGGGCAATCCGGGGTTGCTCCTCCTGGGCGCATGCTACTTTCCTTCTTCGAGGACCCCAATTAATACTCCGACTGCCATTGTCAATGCCTGTTTGTGCGAGGTGCGACGTGGGAGCTCGGCCGGCCAATCAGTGGGCCACAGAGTGCATACCGTCTGATAGTGCTACAGCTGGTGATGTGCTTCTGAGCTGTCGTCTGTACTGGTCCAAAAAAAATCCGCACAAATCTACAGAACCAGTACTTGAATTTTTCCTATTGGCTGGTGTGTTGTTTTCATCCAGCCGTCACCGCTCATCTGTGTTGTGTAGGTAGGTATGTCTACTGGTAGACACGATGGCCAGCGCATCGAGCTTTCACAGGCCAAGGCCAGCGGCAGTTAGCGGTTGCCCCGCCAGCCAGACGCACCGCAAACACGCCGCAATGTAAACAGGGATCCATGCTGTTTGCTTCTGCCGACCACTTGCATCAAGCACTTTGGCACCCATTCACGCACTTGATTTAATCTGAATCCGACTCCACCACCGCCAGATTCGACAAGTCTCTTCATGCCAAGTGCAACTTCGTCGTATCTTCCTGTAATCATTAATATTTCCTCCGGCTACGCATAGTCCTTGGTAGTTCTTGAGACGGACGGACAGCTCCATCGTATCATATCTTAATACTAGCCGAGAAATCACGGTGCCATGGAGGCAGCACATCGATCGTCGGCGTCCTCGCACAACCTCTTTGAGGTGTATCTGCGGCTGCGACCGCCCCCATCCAACGGGACCGCCACAGAACGAATCCTGACCGTCGAGACGAGAGAGGGAGAGCACGACGAGCAGGGCGATGATATCAACTTGGGCACCTCGCACATCGTTCTGAACCCGCCCACTGATCGGCGGCGGGCCATCGAGAAGTTCGCTTTTACTCGCGTCTTTGAGGAGGACGCTTCGCAGCTGGATGTCTTCCACCGCGCCGACATTCTGCCCATGGTTGAAGGCGTGTTGGCGCCCAATGGCGGCGAGGGCACAGATGCCATGGTGGCAACCTTGGGAGTTACCGGCTCGGGCAAGGTGCGTTTCCTTTTTCTATCTGCCAGTATTTGGGACGAATCGAAAGCTGATCTTGTCTGCAGACGCACACCATCCTGGGTTCCAAGACCCAGAGAGGCATCACCCAGCTCTCTCTCGATGTGATCTTTAGCTCTCTCGGTGACAACATGATTGACGAGGATAATCTTCTTGCAGTTACGGATTCCCTGCAGGCATGTGACGCTTCCGAGTCCACTCTCTATTCCGCCGCACAGTTCCTCGATGCTCTCTACGAGCCGCAGCATATGACAAGGTCACGCGCGGCCACTCCAATGATTGTATGGCATATTCTACCCTGTTGGGTCTCTTTTCTTATCCTCGAATGTGCCGACTAACAGCTATCTAGGGCGAGTCTCACGGCTTCATGTCTCCTCCGCCCGCCGCTCGACGTAACTTGCACCGCATCTCCAACGCACCGCAGACCCCAGATGTCAGTCATATTAGCGTGGCCTGCGATACTTCGTCCGAGTATGCCGTCGTGGTGTCCATGTATGAAGTTCACAATGACCGAATCTACGACTTGCTCTGCCCCCCCTCAAAGGCAGCCTCGTCCAAAGACATGCGTCGCCGCCCGCTTCTTTTCAAATCCACCGAGATGTCGCCAGACCGCAAGGTGGTTGCTGGTCTTCGCAAGGTGGTCTGTGCCACCTTGAAAGATGCCATCATGGTTCTAGAGGCCGGTCTTCAAGAGAGAAGGGTCGCAGGCACCGGAAGCAACAGCACATCCAGTCGTAGTCACGGCTTCTTCTCCTTTGAGGTCAAGAAGAGATCAAGGAGTCGCCGAGCCGGATCTTGGGGGGGCAGCAGGTTTACAGTTGTGGACTTGGCTGGCAGCGAGAGGGCCAGGGATGCCAAGACTGCTGGTGCTACCCTCGTAGAAGCTGGCAAGATCAACGAGAGTCTGATGTATCTGGGTCAATGTCTCCAGACTCAGAGTGAAGCAAACACAAACAAGGTAAGTGTTCGTGATATGATAGTTCAGGACCGGAAATTAGTGCTAACAACAGCAGTCCAATGTTATCCCATACCGACAATGCAAGCTGACTGAACTTCTCTTCTCAAATTCCTTCCCTTCAGCCTCTGCCCAGTCTCACGGGGTCAGAAGGAATCCTCAACGGGGAATCATGATCGTAACTGCCGACCCTCTAGGAGACTTCAATGCGACGTCACAGATCCTCCGATACAGCGCTCTCGCTCGTGAAGTCACTGTTCCTCGGATCCCCTCAATCACCGCAACGATCTTGGCCAACCCCCCAGTGCCTGCGAACAACCCGACCAGCCCCGTGCATCAGCATCACCCTCGCCCATTCGTTCCCCCAGGATGCTCTACCTCCTACCGAACGGTATCCGCAGGCGAGCGGGAGACCATGGAACTTGCTGCTCTCGAAATCGCTCGGCTGAGCGATGACCTCGACCAGCTTCGAGCGGAACTCGAGCACCAAGTTGAGGCACGCACGACCGCAGAGGCGCACCTTCTCTCCATGGAGGATCGCATGCTAGACCTCGAGGCGGATATCCGAGACGACTGTGCCTCTGAATTCGAGCAGCGCCTTGCCCTCGAAATCGCCCGTTTCAAAGCATCCTTCGCTGTAGAACAGGAGCGCAACGAGGAGCACTGGGATCGGAAAGTCGACCTCCTCGAACGCGGCCTGGACATTGACCCCTCTGGCCAAGACGGAGATAAGGAGAACGTGCTGGTCGAGAATCTCGAGGAGGAGGTCGAGCGCCTCAGGAGGGAGAACGGAATCCTCAAGCGCGAGCTGGCATCCCGCAGCCCGACCAAGCGCCGGCCACTGGAGGAGCGGGACGACTTCTCGGCCGGCTCCTCGCCTCACCACGCCCACTCCTCTGCCCTGGACACGAGCGTCTCCAACATTGGCCGCAAGCTGGAGCGGATGCGGGTGAGCAGCACCAAGTCGCAGCAGGCCGGCACTTCGTCGTCGCGGAATCCTGCGGCTGTCGCCTCGGGAAGCCCGAAGAAGGTGCGCAGACCGGCAAATAAGAGGTGGGAGGCCGAGGACGAACTGCAATAGGGCTGCTGATCGATTGGTGTCTCAATGTTTTTGTTTTCCATGGCGATACTTGGTTTTGGTTCTATTCTTTCTTCTGGATAAAGTGTTTAGGGATCGGGGCTTGCTTGACTTTGTTGTTTTGATGGTTTCTCTGGAGAAATACCCCTTGCAAGGCTTGTTTCATTATCGACATATTTTGAAGCTGATATATACGTATATATACATATTTCCAAAGCGAATATCATCACACTTTCCTAAATGATCTAGACTATTGCTGGCTGGGGAAAAAATGCGTCAAAGATTATTATTTGGCCCTTCTGATGGCCTTGCCCATTCGCTTCATGACATAAGGACACTTATGACAAAATTATAGAATAAATGTTGCGCTGTGCAAATACGTGCATCGATCCATGCATCCATTAAATGGCCATTGAGGCTTAGGCATTGACCCATCATTTGGATGCAGAGGGAGTGTAGTACTCGGTAATCTGGGGAGGAGCCGTGGGTTGATGGGTTGGGCTCAGCCTCTGAGGCTCCTTGCCCTTTTCGCTGTAGAACTCCGTAGGCATTGGGTTCTGAGGCTGGGTTGAATCCCGATTCTGCAGGGGAATGCCAGGTGCAGGAGCTTGAACGATCTGAGCGCCCTGAGGGAGTTGCTGCCATCCTTGGCCTGCCCCCCAGAACGATCCCGGGTTGACAATGACGACGCGCTGGCGTTTAGCCTGGTTTCTCTTGTGGGTGTCGATGCAGGAACCAATAAAGAGGATGAAGTAGATGAGCCAAAGAAGCCACGAGAAAACTGTGAGTGCGATCCACTGGCCAAAACGGCCGTTAAATGGCAGGGTGCAATTGTAGTATCTATAATCCTGTATGCTAGAGTCATAGCGATAGTCGCAGTTTGACGATCTATCGCCATAGTGGGAGATGGCGGCAAATGTGGAATGTACACCAGCAACGAAGGAGGCAGCGAGCCAGATGAGCAGACACATGCCAACATGGGCGCCGGGGTGAATGCCCTCCTTTTGTTTTCGGACAGCACGTACGATGAGCTCGGAGAGACTCCAAGCGAATGCGATCAAAGCCTATTCATGGGCAAACGAGTGTTAGTTCAATAAGGCCTTAGTAACTAGGTTGCAACCAAAACATACCGCTGGCGATGAGTACCAGGCTGTATACACTTCAGTAGTTGTGCCCTTGAAGGAAAAGGATAAGGCTATGCAGAGAATAGCCACAACAATGCCTGCGCCGTGGAGGGCCGATCGAGTAATTTTCCAGCCTTTCGATTCAGTGGGCTCCGCGCGGATGATCTGCTGGTTGGCCTGAGGCTGGGCAGCGCCATATTGACTATAGGTTTGGAAGGGTTGGCCGTATGCGCCTGGGAATTGCGCATATGCCTGCGAAGGCGCTTGGGGCTGAGGCCCGGTGGTAGCCATGGCTGTCGCTCTCGAAGAAACCTGGTGGTGTTTACTGGCGACTGAGATCTTCGACACGGAGGATGGGGCGATTCTCGAGGTTCTTCAGAGGAAGCCGCAGGGCTCAAAACACGGGTCGAAAACTAAGCCAGATATACTGAGCGACGGAGAACGACTGAGGATCACGAGCGGAACGGAGCGAATATTAGTAGGCGCGGTAGAGAGCGAAAGCGACGAAACGAAGGTAGGTTGTAGCGTAGGCTGCCAGGCGGGGATCGTGAACTTCTGAACGAACGACTGAAAAAGCGAATGGTGCCGATGGCTCGACGGTGCCTGTCGTGTGAAGAAAAGGAACGAGCGAGGGGCGTGGCAATCAGCGCAGGCAGCAGGAGGTCAGAGTTGGAGTCAGCGAACGAGCCTGTCAGACGTCGAGGCTTGGCCTGCCCTACAGGCTCCAAAGGCCTAGTCTCGACTCACCATTTCGGTAGGATCCTGTAGGGCCAAGACAGGGCCAAGAAAGGAAAGTCGCAGAGTCATGCCGAGGAACCGGAAATTTTCTGCAGGGGCGGACCCTTTGACGATTCCTAATTCTGAGGCTAGCTGCCACTGGCGAGGTGCCAAAACGGCGGACCCCTAGCTGAGGCTAAACACATCATCGTCTGTTTGGCCGTTTCTGGCGCCTCCTATGTCCTGTCGCCGGAGCGCCCCGCCGCCACAGCAGGAAGCCGCATGATGAGCAAATACAATGCAATGCTGGTCTCATCCTGGGCGTCAAACAGGGCTGAGGCGAGCAGCTAAATTTACTTTCCATAGGGGACTTGCGGCATGTAATGAGATTTCTCCCTCTTTCGGAGTCAAGCAAGGTCACCTACCTGGGATGGGAGGATTTCTAAGCGCCTACTACTTTGCAGCTGTCTCAAGGCATCAGAAGAACTGCATGGGTGGTAGTGAATCCACTCTGTGATAATCTGCGTCCCGGATTAATACCTATTGACCAATCTCAAATGCATGATTGACGCCTCAGCGAAGCAAGCCACGAACCCTCGCACTAGCTGGAGTAATGACCAACTGCCGAGGCGCATTTGGCTTCTACCTGCATCTCGTAGAATCCGGACGACACAGTAGAACTTGTGGTTCATAGACGGTTTGATTTTTGGTATATGGATCATATCTATCCTCTGCAAATACAGCATCGCTTTCTGCAACCCGGGTTCGGTCCTCTTTTACTCCCTCTGCAGGATGGCAAACAATCCCATCACGCCCAGCATGACCGTCTTTAGCCATGGGTGCTCTGACAGGAGAATTGTGACGTATCCGACAAAAGGAATATCTAGCACAATTATTAGTACAAATGTGTCAGACCAAGGCGGACAACTTGGGGGCGCTCACAGCCAATAACACTACCAATGATATCCTTGCGAACCAAGTAGTCCTGGCCTCGAGCGTAAAGCTATCAGTCAGGGTCAGTATCCGTCCAGCCCATGGTAAAAGTTCCCATGCTACACACCTCAGTATCGTCGGAAGGATTGTTGTCACCCTTGGTGAGAAGCTTTGCGTCCTCGCTAGGATATTGTGTCAGTTCTCGAACGACTTTGACTCCACGTCCGACCAAAGAGCTGGTTGAGGAATACGCACCCCTCTCCGTATTTCCTGACGACACGGTGGACAATGGGAATGTCCTTATCCTTCACATTGTATACGACGACCTCTCCGACAGAGGTATCTTGCAACAGATTGCGATTCCACAGGAACAGCAGATCTCCTCGCTGGAAGGCGGGCTCCATAGATCCGGACAGAACAACAACGATCGGGGACGGCGAGTCGGAAATGACAGAGAGACCTTTCCACATCTGCGATAGATCTGGTTAGAACAGAGGATCGACACATAGCGAGGATATCTGGGCGGTGGTCTGGGGTACCATGAAAGCTGAAGACAGGATCAGGGCGAAATTCAAGACCTGCGCGGCGGCCTGCCGGGGGTTCTGAAGCATGGACAACATTGCAGTGGTCGACAATCGGGCACTTTGTAGATGTCGTGAGCAGAGAGGGCCGATTGCGCAAGGGCCCCAATGACGATGAGGCTGGGAGGTCGAGTTGCGTCGCGAGTTGAAGCAGATCGTGATGCAGCGAAGCGTGTCCAAGCTACCAGCTACGGTAGCCACTCGCAGTAGTGGACATGTGGCTCTCCAGCAACTGTTTGAGTTGGTGTGCACGGACCAATGCACCGAGGGTCCTTAAAATCGCCCGCTTCCTCGACTCTTCCATGCCCAAAAAAGAACAAGGCAAAATGCGGGCCATTTCGTGTGGGGGGTTTTCTCCAATTGCACTGGTGTAGGCCTTTCATTCAGATCTGTGGCTCTCCAATGTGGCTGCCGCCTGTGATTCCAGGGCGCTAGAAGTGATGTCATAGAGATCGAGAGAATCGGTGCACTTCAGTCTAAGGACCGACATTGAACGAGTGACGTCGTCAATTAGACCTGCTGATCATTCTTCAGGATATTATTTATTCTCGGCGGCATGGCCCTAGTTATATATGATTTCTTCTCTCTAGATTCACATGAGAAACTAACATTAATTCGAACTACATTGTGCACAACTTCCACAAAGCAATCTTTCTGAGGAGATCAAAATGTCAAACAACAGCCAGAACCAGCAGTCGCAGCCAAGCCTTATGGGAGGCCACGCGCAATGGGTGAAAGGTGCAGCAGAGGTGAGTTGGCAAATCCGGGGCTTAACTTCCATGCCATTAGCTTGACGAAACTTACTGATTGTACCTGTTTGTCCAGGCTGCCATTGGCGACATTAGCGGCTCACACGCCTGGAAGTCGTCTGGGGAACAGGACAAGGCAGCCGGTGTCGCTGTGATGAAGAAGGCAAGCGAGACGAGAGATGAGAGTCAAGGGTATGGGCGGGTGGAGGAACTAGCAGGCAAGGCCACTGGATGCGAGGGCATGAGGATGGAAGGTGCTGCGTCCAAGCGCGAGTAATCACCAACTTTTGTCCTGGCCTCATGGCGTTTTGCCGCGACAGGCTACTGCAGTATATTGACACATTGTAGTTCTATAATCATCACAACATTGACGTACAAATAGCCGACTGCGGCATCTGCTACCATTCCGTGCTGTTGACGCTGGCTAGACATCGAGTCATTGCTTGATTGTTGATTGTACATGTGGCTGTGGTTGGCAGTTGCCTGTTACTTTGAACCTGCTCCTCATGTCTCCTCCCACTTAATGCTGTCTAGAAACCAGGGAAAGTGCAGTACTCTGACTGATGCAGCCACTTTGCGACCCAACACCATCCATCTTCTTTGTTTTGGTCCTCTGGCTCCCTTTTCTCTACACCATCCCGCTTTGCTTTTATCTGCATTCCCTGCTCGATCTCTCTCGCAACCGTGCCAACTCGAGCACATCAGCTTTACCAGTCATTGTCATACTCTCTTTCACCTCCCGTCATCTGCCTTACGATCGCGTGCCTCTGATGGAGACTGCTCCTCTCCTTTCGTCGGTGGGCGGTCTGCCTGGCCCTACCACGCTGCAGGACCATGTGAGTTGTTGCAAATATTGGAGTCATCATCTCGCCCACTTAGCCCATCTAACCGGAAAACCTATTTCAGCCGGCCTTCCTACGAGCCAGCCATTCTCCATGGAGAATCATCCCACAGAATGTCCTAGTGATCCTCCGAGGATTCGTCCTCGCCTACCTCTCTGCAGTTACGGTCATGGTTGCCAACGACAAGCTTACAACAGAATCGGAATTTACGAACTGGAGGCACTTCTTCGACTTTGCCATTGTAAGCTTCTTCTTGGTGCTCGTATACCACATTATCACTTTTGTAAGTCACCCCTCCAATCACCTTCTGTTCCGGGTCTAACCTGCCATTCAGTCGTGGACATTCACCCATTTGTACTACCCCCACGTCGAAGAAACCGATGGAATCGAATCATACATCATCTCGGCAATGTCTCTACCAAGGAACATGGCCAGTCTGCGCAACCAATTCTACTTCACCCTGTTCTACGCCACAGCTGTTGTCTTTTCCTTCATGAACTCTACCGTGTATTGGTTCATCACTCGGCAAAATGAAGCTGGCGAGCCTGAGGAGCCCCCGCCCCTGAACCTGTCATCGACTTCGGCTCTGCCAGCTTTGCCCGATACTCCCTGTAAGTGCCCATCCGATGGGCCTCTCCCCATCTCATAAGAATATGCAGCAGCTAACATCAGAGGGTACTAGTCAGCGATTTATTCGGAGAGGGTTGGTTCAAGGCGTTTGTCCTAATCAATCTCTATGGCGTCACGTCTGTCATCATGATGATTGAAATACTCTTCTTCAACAGCGTCAAGCGTCCCTTTGTATGTCAACTTTTGTCAAATATTCTCTCCGCGACAATTCTGACAGATTTTAGGCCATTGGCTCGCATCTTGTAGGGCTAATCCTATTTTCCGGACTTTATCTCGGCTGGGCAGCGATCGGGAAACTAGTGACTGGCTGGTTCGCATTCGATTGGCTTGATGAAAGCAAGGTTGGCTCACAGGAGGCTGTCACTGCTTATTGTATCGGCTTCGTTCTTCTTGCACCTCTCAGTGAGTCTCATCGGTGCATTATTCGCTCAGAACCATTATCCTAACATCCACAGTGTCTACCTTGATGTTTGGCTTCATCGCTGTGCGAGAAGGCTTCACAAAATCCCTTAGCCGGTCACGCGCTGCGGCTGCTGCCGCTGCCGCAGCAGCCCAGGACGCTCTCTCGGACTCCTAAGTCTATGGAGCCCACCTGACGATATCGGACACTCTATGAGTCAGATATACCAGGTGGGGGAAAGTTTGTAGTAGGGCAATACAGACATTGGATGGTGTCAAAGTCATCCTGCTGAAGGGTAGAGGCGCAAGTGCTACCCTAATCATCATAAGTTGGGTGAGATTCTCTCTATACCTATAACATACCTAGTGAATCATGTAGGAGGAAAGGGCGTCATGGGGGGAACTCAATGACCATCGATTGTCCTAAGGTATGAATAACTTTACACAGCTCTTACCTAGTGAAGCCGAGTATTCTGTCCAAAATTCAATCATCATTTTTCCCTTTTGCAATTGCGCTGCTGAAGGAATTTTGGGACAATATGGCTGCTTCTCTTCAAGAGACCCACGCCCATGAGCATCCTTCCATGCCTACCTCCAAATTTCAACTGCCCTTGACCTCTATCATTTGCAGGCTGAAGAAACAATTGACAGCAGTTCTTCGATTAGACCATTTCACAATCATGGCATCGCAGAACCAATTACACAATAAAATCCCGGCAAATACACTCTAGCCAAGTAGCGGGCAACTCTAAAGCCGGGCAACTTCACCTCGTTTAAGTGAACCATCAAGTCCGTTCATGCAATGTAACGACTGATAGCTGAACCAACTGACGGGTCCATTGTAGTACCTGCTTGATTGAGGGTAGCAAAGTTGTGAACGAGCAAAGCCCGATCAATTACGGAAAGACGTAGAATCACCACGTCAGCATCAGTGAGCCAAGGTCCCCAAGCCAGTTTGTCGGTGTCGAATTCATAGTTTCAGGATGGGAGGGGGAGATCCGCCTGACCCTGAATTATTTGAGCAGGCCATCCGGTGACTTTTGGTGGAACACGACATGCCAACTCAGAGATGGCCAGAGGGAGAGGATGCAGTACAACGTCGGCTCGACGACGAGAAACGGAATATGCCTCTTTACTCCTCATCGATTCTTCCTCTTCTAGTTTTCTCCTTAAAATAGGACTCAGTCTCCTCTGGCGCATCATTGGCTCGAGGGCCATAGTTTTCCCACAAGTCATGCACGTCTGGAGCCCAAGATGCGCTCTAAGCGACATCGGGAGCATGACGACCGAGGGCACCGGGAGTGCCCAGTTTTCAGGGGAAGTGTGTCGGATGGAAATGAGCAAATGAGCCGTTGGACGATGACTCCACCTCGGGCCAAGTCCCCGGAGCAGACCAACTGTGTCCCAGGGTCATCAGGCCGAAATGGACAGCCGGTTGGCCCGCGCTGGAGTCGGTGAGCTCTCATCTAAGCGTAACGGCAGCTAGATTGAAGATGGCGGAGGCGGAGAGAACCAAGACATGACCTGATTACCAAAAACCCCTCATTTTACGTCCAGAACCTACGTGAAATCAATAGCCGAGGGAAAGCATTGAATTCCAAAATAACAAAGCTCGTGAGGAGAGAGGGAAGCTGAGGATCTTGGGTACCGAGACAGGTTGGCATACATGTGTAGGGTAGGATGGTGAAGCAGCTTATATAATGAAGATATCCAACCACCGTGTAGAGCGCGTGCATCGTGACCTCGTTCACCCTCCTGCTCCCCAGATCCATGCCCACTTTCCAGAACATTCCGGCCTTACTACCCTCGTCCGGGTCTTGGGCGTGGTACGTATCCCTTTTCGATGGTTTGATGGATGCATCTGCCTCGATGCCCAACTCCCATATTCAGGTAGCTGCGGGAAATTACACAGGACGATGCTTCCATACCGCATCTCTGGCAGCTCGGACGGAGGGAACCCCCCCTCTGCTGATTGTTGCTCAGTTCCAAGGCTCGTCAGAATGGACGGGACCTCATTAGAATCAGGACACGGGTTTACAGTAAGAAGCAGGAGCACGAAGCACGAACCAATATGGGTTGATTGGTCGCTATTATAGCACATAAGCCATCCAATCTCTTGGTGTGGTGGGCACTGGGGAACACTACGTGCAGAGATTCACGGAGACGTGCGCGAGAACCTACCTCCCGTCCATGTGTTACCCTGGATATGATCATTGATGGTGTGCCAATGGCAAACCACAATGTTCAGCATGTCTCGTTCGAGTCTTTCCCTTTGTTGCCTAATCTGCTACCAAGACCAATTGGACCTTTCCCCGTGTCTCAGCCCAAGGTCCCAGAGACATGTCTGTGACTGGCTGGAACATAGTATGTTCAAACTCTATCTCGCCGTTGGGGGGGGACCAGTACATACCGTCTACCTGAGTCTATGTCGCCCGTTCCCAGTTATCAGCTGGTTATCTATGCGGGCCGGTCCCTGGTGGAAATGGGTGGAGATACCAACAGCACGTCGGTGCCTTGCGACTGTCTGATGCGACGGTGCTGCTTTGGGGGACCTGTGCAATCAAACCTGCTTGGGGGAAGCCGGGCGGCTAGAGGGCCAATGCGATGGGCAGATGAAACTGATGGGGATGCGTGTTGGACGGGAGTCGGTGTGTACATAGGTACATACGTGGATGCCCTACGTGCTGTGGTGTGGTTAAGTGCGTGCGTGCTCTGGGCAGCGATGATCGGCAAGCCTGACGAGCTGCGCAAGTACCTGGACGTAGACCTACCTCGACGCAACGGTCTGCGGGCCCTCAGAGGCCGCTGGCATTGGCGGAGATGCAGTTGGCTGCCATCATGTGCAGCCCGGGTAGACGATACCGCTGCTGCTAGCAGTGCCAACAGGGACACCTGACATGTCCTGCCGTCGGGCGTAGATGCGACCGCCCTGGTGTCGGTGAAAAAGAAGCAAGAAGAAGGAGATCTATTTTAACGCATCTGGGTCTATCGGGACATGGGGGTCCAGGTAGCGGCGACCTCCATCTACCGACCGCTGGTGCATGAGGAGAGCCCATAATTGCCGGCCGCTCACTGGCTGCGCTCGGTGGCTGGGGCGGTGTCGCTACAGGGGAGTCTGGGCGGCGGCGGCAGCTAAGTGGCTGGTGCCAACAGACGCCTGAAGCCGCTGGAGCGTCAGGAGGGGGTGGATCTTAACTCTAATACAAAACCGCCCAGACGAAATCTTTGGGCTTCTTCCCCTCTCCTCTTCCTCCCCACACACAAGCCATCAACAACGGGTCGCAAAGCATCTACAGGTATTCCGTGATTTCGCTTTACTGCTGAAGGCACGAATCCTGTCGCCCGGGCCCGAGCCAATCTTTCCCTCTTGTGCGTCATTCACTCTTTCAACCCGACACCCCCACCCCCGACTCTCCTCCGCTCTCTTCGTCGCTCTCTTCAAGTCCAACAGGCAAAGCACACGCACACCCCCGCGTGTGGCGTGTCGTGGCCATCGTCGCATTCCTGCCTGCCTGGGTATATCCGATCGCCTACATATATCCGCTCGCATCTGCCTCAAGCCACTTGCCTATCCCATTCAGAGTTGTTTCCATTCTTTAGTTGTCCCCAATAAGACATCTTGAACTCGCATTGAGGAAACAAGATCAACCAACCAGTCAACCAATACCCGCCGCCATGTTCAAGCGCTCGTTTAGGTCCCAGGACCAGACCCGTGTCGACAAGGCTGCGAGACTAAAGAAGAATGGCTCATCGCGGGAGCCTACGAAGATCACGAAGTTGCAAAAGTCGTTGACAACGGAGAAGGACCAGCACCAGCCTCAGCACGCTCAGCACCAGCACCAGCACCAGCATGCTCAGCATCAACATGCTCAGCCTCAGCACGCTCAGCGCGCTCAGCACCACCACCACCAGGCTTCGATGCCTAGCCATCAGCCTAGTAATCCTCAGTCCACTGCTCCTTCACCTATCGTGACCCTCACAGTTGGTCGCGAAGGTCGGCTATTTGCAGCGCACGAAGATGTCCTACGACAGTCGCCGTTCTTCACGGCTGCCTGTTCAGAAAACTTCTTTGATGCGCAGAACCGGAGGATATCCCTCCCCGACGAAGAACCCGAGGTCTTCTCGGCCGTCCTTGAGTACCTCTACAAGGGTGACTACTATCCCCGCCTGATCCACAATAGGCAAAGGAACTCTTGGGAACTCGAAGATCAACCTAAAACGGCATCGAGAAGTCCTCACCCCTCACCCAACCCCCAGGCCGCAGGCGGTCGCGCTGCAGGCGCCTCACCGGAAGCCGCTGTCTACATCTCGAGCATAGGGGCCGACATCCTCCGCGATACGGTCGTATACTGTGCCGCAGAGCGATATGGCCTCGACGAGCTGAAGCGACTGGCCTTGCGCAAGCAAGGGCTTCAGGCCGGCATTGATGTCGGAACCATCCTGAGGTCAGCCCAGTATGCCTATGCCCACACGCCCGACTCAGACAGCCGTCTGCGCGCTCATTACCTCGCCCTGATCATCCGCTGCCGCAAGACCTTCAAGCGCAGTGGTACCATGCAGGCTGAGATGGAAGCTGGAGGCAGCAAACTATTTTTCGACCTGTTCGTGGCAATGTGCAACCACCTGGACGACGTCATTGAGGTCAGCAACGTCCGAACCCCAAAGACTGTCTGAATCCACCAATCCAGAGTTGCCGCCAGGTCGCATGGTAAAACCATCATGCACTGACTCAGTTTTCCCAACTTTGCTGTTCGAAGGAATGAAGAACTGGAGAGAAAAAAAAAACCAGAAAACGAGGCCGAAACTACATGTGGCATCGCAAAGAAAAATCACCGAAAAAAAAAGTCTTGATGATTTATGATAATGATTGGAATGTTATGCAAGCGGTTCAGATGGAGTTATTTGCTTTTTCGTCGCTCCCCTCATCAGATTGACCGTCTACCATTTGGGAGCTGTTTTCTCTACTTCTCTCACCCAGGAGGTTGGCCGACAACTTTTTTGATGAGTATCCGAGCTGAAAGGCGCCTAATAACACCGTTGCTACGGACTGCAGCCTTCTGCTCCATTTATTGTCATTTTGAGTCTTGTACCAAAGTATTTTGGAGGTTTATTGTTTTGCTTGTTTCAAAGCGTTGTGTTCTTTTTGGTTTAGAAAGTATCTCTACTTGTCTGATCTCATTGCCTTTTGATTGGGGCCCCCTCCCTCCTCCGGCGTTGCTTTCACGTCGCTTCGCTGGCCGAAAATATGGCAATCAGGATGGGAGGCAACAGGGTCCCTGTTCGCACTCCATTTACAGATGGGGGAGCTCCAATTCTGAGAATCTGTGACTGCTCCCTTATGAGCAGCGGCTCCCCCATCTCAAGCAATCATCTCAGCAGCCTTTAGATGGATTTTTTGTTTTGCAATCTCGTTCTTTTTGCATATCACTTACCGGCGTTCATCACCACTCTACGCCCTTGATTTAAGTGCGCACCCGAGAATGATACCTTTGTTTTTTGTTTTAATCCATCTGGAGGTAAGGGGCAGGAACCAAGACGGCGCATCCACAGGATGGAATGGCCGTCGAGTTCTTCTAACGCCCCCCTTTTTTGGCTTTCACATCTTTAGACAGATTGGTACGCTTTTGACATACCCCCCGACTGTCGTCATGTTATTTCCTTTGTCATCTGAGGATGCGCATTGTGGGGGAAGCGCGACGATGTGAAAAAAAGAAGGAAATGTGTGGTGGACTGTATACATCGCCCAGGATTGTTGTTTGTGTTTTTGTAGCAGGTCTTTACGATTGGAACACTTCATCTATGGGGTCGCGTGCGATCCGCCTGGGTGTGGTCATGTTCAGAGCTGTTATTTTTTTGAGGTAATGAGAGAGTCGGCCCGCCTCATATCTGTGTCCCGTCCTGTTCGCGAAGTGATGTGACGTGATGTTGCTATCCCATGCTTGCCCGCCTACCTTGCTTGCCCGTCTACCTTGCTTGAGCCCACCTACGTCTAACAAAGGATGTTATTGCACGTTCATTTAGCCAAGGCACCATGGATACTTTTGCGTTAATTTGACTTGTTTTATTTTTCTGCCATATCTACTGCTTGGCCCACGCGACCTCGAGGTTCTGGAAAGTAGCTACGAGCTGATCCTTGGCCTCTGGGTTGGGCCGGGCGACCAGGGCGCCGACCTCGAGCTCCCATCCCTCGCCGGCGCCGTCGGGCCCGTAGACCCAGGCGATCTCCCTCAGGGCGACCTTCTCGTCGCCGTTGACCCAGTACACCCAGAGGGTGACGCCGTCGCGCTCCACGCGGACGGTGATGCTCTTCTTACCCGCGACGACGTCACCGCCGGCGTCGGGCAGGGTGGTGACGCTCCAGTCGGAGTAGTTGTCGCAGCAGACGACGGAGAGGCGGGGCACGCCGTTGAAGAACTCGACGCCGGTCTTGATCCACTTGGTCGCGCTGGAGGCGGCGTGGGAGAGGCGGAGGACGAGGCCGGCCTGGTCGAACTGGACCGTGTAGGGGCAGGTGAAGGAGACGGAGGCGGATTGGAACTGGGCGAGGGGGGCCTTGCTGAGGGGGCGGACGGGGGCTTTTGGGTGAGCTGTGTTAGTGAAATGGTCGGATGGGCCCAATGGGAGTATGTGTGTGTGTGTGTGTGATGAAGATGGAGGGTCGTATTGGAGAGGCAGAGTTCGTTTAGAGTATTCAGTGCGTATGGTTGAGGAGACATACCGTTCTTTGCGTCGTGGCTGGGAGGCTTCTTCCACAGATCCGTGTTGGGGTCGGCGGCGAAGGTGAATGGGAACTGGAGCTCAGCCATGATGATGAGAGGGGCGGTGCGAGTTTGAGTGCGTATGTGTATAAATGTTTGGTTAAGCTACCTAGGTAGAAGATGGACCTGAGAAACAATGGGATGGATCTTTATATATTGATGGCCTACGTATTGACTAATAACAACTGCACTTGTTCCTCTTCAGTGGGCAAGTTCTAAGTTGACTCGGCTCTTGCCCCTCCTTTGCTGGTGCGTTGTTGTTTAATTGGAGACGGAACGAGACCAATATGGCTCGGCCGTTGCGAAGTTGGAGTGGGTAGCGGGATGAGCTTCTGCTACTGCCAATTCACCCGCAAAAAGGATGGTGTAACTTGGAGGAAAATGGTTTAATGCGGAATTGCCTCTTTCAAAAGTTCCGCAAAGCGTGCCTCGAGATGAACCTCGATGAATGTCAAATTGCCGATCTCTTAGTCATCCGAGAGGAAGTCGGCAAATCTCCGGTTGATGGATTACATGAAGGTGAGGCGCACGCCAGCAAAGTTACAAATTGTGAGGGAAGGCAGCAGCAAACGCCACAAGCTCAACATTTCGGGCCAGTCGTCCATCGCTGCGTATTGAAATTTGGGCATACATATGAGACCTCCATGGTAAACTCTATCCAATTTTTTCTCTCTCTTTAAGCGCTCCACATATAGAGGAAAAAGCGCTCTTCAGCACCTCTCTGCACGGTTCGAACTCGAGGCTGTACCGGGGGGCGCGTGATAGTGGCCGACGTGAGTCAACGGGCCCACTCGACCAGAGGGAAAAATCGAAAGCATCTTGCCCCCACTTCCAAAATTGAGTGTCGACACAATTTCCCCCAGACCAGTATCGCTCATTTCATCCATTTGACTTACACCCTTCCTCAGTCAAAGCCCACGGATCTGTCTCATCTTTCCCGAACCGCTTCTTGGCTGTCTTGAGATACCACCAAACGCCTTCATTCTTGCCCGTGTCTCGAGTCTATCGAGGCGAGAACTCAGCCTCGTCGCCGAGGAGGAGCTGGAGGGCCGGGCGAGAGGCAGATTGATACCTTCATTCATTCAGCCAACCCTCTCTTGCCTTCTTTGCCTGTTTGCCTGCCTGTCTACCTACCGGTCGACCGACTGACTCATCTTCATTCTCTCCCCCCCGTCAATCAAAGCTTTCCTCGCCTAGGAAACTTCACATTTCCCCTCACCTTCTTTGCCTTGCACTTATCAGCACATCCATCCAGCACCAACACAAAATGTCCTCCTTTTTGACACCAGCCAAGAAGCCCGCGGGCTCAGCTGCGTCCAAATCTCGGTTTTCTCGCCCCAATCCCGTTCGTGCAATCCGTGAACGTGAGGAGCGCCGGGCCAATGCCGCTGCTTCATCACGATCCTCGCAGTTTGCTTACCCCTCCAACAACACAGCTGCCTCGCTTGCTGTCCCATCACGAGGCCAGTGTTCCAACAAGGCCTGTCGGAAGCCCAATGTCGTCGACGGTACCTGTCAGACCTGTGGTCGTGTTGCTGACGACAGTAACATCGTTGCCGAGGTGCAGTTTGGTGAAACCTCCTCTGGTGCTGCCATGGTCCAGGGTTCTTTTGTTGCAGCAGACCAGGCTGGTGTTCGCAGCATGGGCCCGTCCTTTAGAAGAGTCGGTGGCTCAGAAGATCGTGAGAAGAGCATCCGCGAGGCCAAGGGTCTGATGCAAGGTTATGCTCAGCAGCTCAACGTCGGCGAGAGCTTCGTTACATACGGCACTCAGGTTTTCAAGCTCGCCTCGAGCGCCAACTTTATTCAAGGTCGTACACTGACGAGTGTTGCTGCTGTTTGTCTTTATGCAGCCTGCCGCGCTGAACCGCCGTGCAAGGTCATGTTGATTGATCTTGCTGATTTGGTTCAGCTGAACGTTTTCAAACTGGGCCGCATCTTCAAGAAGCTCAACGAAGTGGTTCCAATCGGCAATGACGGCTTGATCCCTGTCTACCCCGAGGATCTGATCTGGAGATTCGCCACCAAGATGGAGTTTCATCAGGAGACAGCTCGTGTAGCTGAGGATGCCGTACGCCTGGTCAAGCGCATGAGCCGTGACTGGATGGTCATGGGTCGTCGCCCGTCTGGCATCTGCGGAGCCTGTCTCCTTATGGCTGCCCGCATGCACAATTTCCGTCGCACTGTCCGGGAGGTCGTCTATATTGTCAAAGTGACAAATCATACCATCCAGAACCGTTTAGCCGAGTTCAAAGTGACAGAGTCCAGTCGCATGTCGGTGGAGGACTTTTTGAAACAGGATTTTTTGGAAACATCACACGATCCCCCATCATTCTATCGCAAGACGGATGAGTATAGAAAGCTCGCTGAGGAGCGGTCTCGCAAGCGAAAGAGATTAACAAACGACGACGGCGCTGATGATGACGAAGGTAATGATTCAACAGGACGCCCTGCAGAAGGCCTAGGCAGGCAACGCCGGCGGTCAGACGCAGGCGGCGCTGATCTTTCAAAGGCTCCAGTCATCGAGTATCGACGTGATGAGGAAGGGTTCATCATCCCCCCACTTCCATCACAGATCCCAAAAGATAGTGAAAATCGCGATGTAGCGGGAGAGAATCTGTCGGGGAATTTGGACCAGCTCGCACGAGAACACGGCGACGTAGAAAAGGGATTGGACGAGGATAGTCAACAAGAGAGTGGCCGCAGGCGATCGCAATTGCCGATCAATGAGGAGTGGGAGCAGGATGAGGAAGAGCTTGAGGGCCAGATTGAGGAGATCTTCAACGATCCTCTCACCTATGAGCACGCCCTGGCCTACTCGAATGCCGAGCAAAGAGCGCGCATCCATACTCACTGGGCTCTCAAGCAACGGCCCCAAAAGGAGGTTTCCATGTCAGCTGACATTGATGAGGATGAATTTGCAGACGATCCCGAAGTCATCAACTGCTTGCTCTCCCCGGAGGAGGCGCGGATCAAGGAGACGATTTGGGTCAATCAGAATAAGGAGTGGCTCCGACAGCATCAAGAGAAGGTCTTCCGTCGAAAAATCGAGGCCGACCGACCTAAACAGACTCGTCGACGAAGAAAGCGAGCGAGAATGGGCGAAGGCCAAACCAGTCCGGCCAGCTCTGCAGCAGAAGCCGCTATTAACGTTGCCAAGGACCGAGCTTGGTCCAAACGAATCAATTACGATGCCATCCGCAGCATTTTTGATAACCCCAACGGTGGCGGGCTTGGATCGGAAGCGACCAGTCGCAAGACAAGTATGGCTGGCAGTACCCTTGGCGTTGCCGAAGACGATGACGCACCAGAGCAAGAAAGTGTGGCTGGAGACTACCAGGAGGAAGAGGAAACTTATGACTACGACGAGACTCAAGAGTACGAGGCAGGCCATGGAGACGAGGAGTTTGCTGGCGGAGACGAGTTCAACGGGGGATATGAGGACGATGACAATCCTGACATGGATGCCGAGTATGGGCTGGAGGAGGATGAGTACCGATAATTAGACGACTTGGAATGAAATTGGGACCATTTCCTTGGGGACCGAGGGCTGTAATATGTCTGGAAAGAAAGACATGAGAGTTTTGATCATCATTGTCTTTATTTTCGCTGTTCTCAAACTGGCGTTGGAAGACTGGCACGATTGGCGTTGGGAGGGTAATATCATACAGTAGCGTTAAGATCTGTTTCGGCTGACTAGCAAGAAGAATTCGAATTCATCTTTTAATCCTTCTCATAAATTGTGAAAGCTATGGATGCAATATGTGAACACTCTCTCAATTGGTCATTCAAGATCCTAAACTACTTACTAAATTTCAACCTGCAAAAGCATCAGGATAATCACTTATTCTTCTTGGCATACCTCTTCTTTTAAAGGGAAGTACTTTTGTAATAAAGGATAGATTATATAGAAGAATTTCTACAAATCGTAGAAATTCTCAGTTTGAACCAGAAGAGTTTGAATTATTTTTTGAAAATATTAACAAAGAAAAAAGAAGGTTTTACGAATCAACAACTAATGAGCCCCTCTCTCTCCCCGTCTGGCACTCGTTCGTCATTTCTTATAGGGGTCCTTGAAGAAAATAACTTGAACGGTTACGTCGTCTCTAAAGTACCGACTCGCTGGCTCCCTCACCGTCATGACCGTCCTGAACAGCTCTCTCCGGGCACCCCCGAAGGCGTTCTTGACGAGACACACGGACGCATTATCCAGATCCTCGATTATGAAATCTTCCGGCGTGCTGTTCCAGTATGACCACCCCAACTTACTAACCTCCATCGACCCCTGGGTCGGGGGCTGCGCTTCGGGCTTGTTGGCCTTGTGGGCCTGGAGCCAGCGAGAGACGCACTTGACGGCGTCCTCGCTGGAGATGTGATCCCAGAGCCCGTCCGTAGCCAGGATGACAAAGTCGTCAGATGACACCACGCGAGTCGTAACTTCGGGCTCTGCGGTCATGTAAGGGGGGGTCTTGTAGTTTGGGCGAGGCACGTTGCCCGGGTGGCTCTCTCTCAAGGTCTGGAGCAGCTCGAGGGGCCACTTCCACCGACTGTCCCCGAAGCTCCGCGTGACGGCCATGCCCAGCAGCCTGCCGCTGTTGGGGTCGAGGATGAGGTCCTTCTCCCCCGGGTGCTCCTTGGAAATCTTCTCCGCCTCGGTCTTGTTCAATCCCGTCTGGTCGAGGCTCAGCTCCTCCATCTGATAGTCATCTGACGTGGCTGGGGATCGGTAGCCAAGCACCGCGCGGGAGTCACCGGCGACGGCAGTCCGCAGCACGGATGCGATGGGATCGTAGATGGTCAGCAGGGCGCAGGAGCCGGCAAAGGCGGGCGCGAGGGCTGCCACGGCCTCTGCTGAGCCTGCGCCGAGCTTCTCGGCAACCTCTGTGCCCGCGTTCATGGCGCGGTCGTCGAGCTTCGTGAAGGCAGTCTTGATGGCGGCGACGACGGCCTCCTCCGAGTTTGCGGACGACAGTCTGCTGAGTGCCGTGGACACATAGGGGATGAGGGCTTCTCGCAGGATCGTCGACATGGCCCATCCGCTGGTGCGATTAGTATCAAAACTCTCCAAAAATACTCGTTCTCGTTTTGGCTGTTCTACACCACCACCCTCTTCTTACTCACACGTGGCCGTCATACACACCCGCGTAGACGGTTGCGGCACCACCGATCCCCTTCGCTGTACCGACGGACCAGTCGTCTTCCTTGGGATGGTTGCTGGGCAGGCAGACGACATCGATCCTCCCCTTGGCCCCGTCCTTGCTGTCGAATACGAAGGTTCGAGCACTCTCCCTCAGCTTCTCGTCGGCATCCTGGAGGCTCAGGGCCTTGATAGGTGACCTGACGACGATGTCATCCTCGGATGCTAATTGGTTGATGGTCGGGATGTGCTCTGAAGCAGCTGCTGCCTTGGGGGGACCCTTTTCTGCCTGTGAACTGCTGCTCGAAGAGATGTAGGCACCCGACCCGAGGAGAGTGGCGGCACCCAGTCCACCCCATTTCAGGTAGGCCGATGACGTTCCTGTCTGCCCACCCTGGGAAGCCGAGGTGTAAGCACGTCTCTGAAAGGCAAGAAGGGTTCGGGGGCACAGATTCCGACGTAGCAGGATGGATGCTGTCGTTGCTGTGGGCGTAGAGCTCCGGGCTGCCAGGCGAAACATTGCTCACTGTCACGAAGAGGGGAACGAGAGTCTGGGAAGAGAGGCGTTGGAACCACCAATGGAAGTAGACGAGGCCGGTGGGCGTGAGAAGATGTATATATATATATGTAGGGATATACGTGAGTGAGGGTGTATGATCGCGGCCAGACCAATGCCAGCACAACGCGGGGCAACGCAACGCAGCAGCGGGACAGGCTCAGGAGAAGGGATAAAGTGGTCGCGTGCTGTGTGTCTGAGATGGGTGAGATTAACGGCCGGCGAGAATCTGTACATATGTGGGAGAAGGGAAGCGAAGTCACCGCACTGTGCTGAGCTGAGCTGAGCTTTTGGTCTGACGCCGGTCGTTCCCTCGTCTGAATTTACCCTGGACAAGCAGCCCAACCCAGTCCATTTCAGCCCGTGAATCGGCATCTCTTGCCGATGCTCCTTTCTTTTTCCTCTTAGGTCAGTGTTTCATGTGGACGGTGATGATTGAGCGCCGTGCCGGTCATAATTATTATCTACTGGTCTTCTACTGCTCCTCCAAATGCTGACAGTTCACCCAGTATCAGATCAGTTTTTCGTTTCCCACCTCTTGTCTATCGCCCGGCGGCAATCTCGGCCGCCTCCTCTTCCCACTCTCCGGCCTCCTCCATCTTCTTGTTTACAAGATATTCGGCGTCTCCTTCCAGGCCCTCGCTGTCAAATTCATCCACGTCCATTTCGCTGTCATAGTCATACCCTCCGTATTTTCCGGTTCCTTCCTCCTCATCCTCATCGTCTCCCTTCTTGCCCCGGGCAGACTTTTCTGCCTTCTTCCGCTCGACGTTGGCCTTTTGTTCCTTCTTGCGGGCCTCCTTCTCCTGCCTGCGCTTCTCCCACCGCTGCTCCAGCTCCTTGAGCTCCTCCTTAGATTTGTGAACATACTCGTGCCACATGACCTTCCCTGAGCACAGTCCCTCCTCGACCTTCGTAAGCCGGAGCTTCATACGTGGGCCCAGCTCAACAAGCTTGACAGCTCGTCGTTCCACGTTTTCCTCCTCCTCGCCCTCGGCCTCACGGGCTGCGGCCTGCCGGGCACGCGATGAGAGGACCTTGCGGGGTGCGGAATCGACCACCTCGATCTCGGCATCTGTGTCCAGTTCACTTCCGCTCGTAGCGTCCGTCATGTAGCCTCCCTCCCCTCCTTCACCACCAATCATGTAGTCGGCGATGTCTTCTAATTTGCCCAGGTTGGGCACCTTTCCTTTCCGGCTGGTCTTGGTTGACAAGAATTTCTCAGCCGCATTGATGCGACGGAGCGACTTTGAAACACCCGTTGACCTTGTAGTAATGGCGTAGTGTCGGAAGTTGACGATGAATGTTCCATCGTCGGTCTCGGACTGCTCGCGGTTCAGGAGAAGCACTCGTCGTATCGACTTCAGAGGATGTGTCTGTGGGTTGATGGGCGGGAAGAGGGATTGGAAGACAGTAGTGGCGAGCGATTCGAGGTGCTTGGGTACTTTGGAATTGGAATCAGAATCGGGGCGGGTGAAATTGTTCATCACAAGCTGCGAGATTGGTTCGTTAGCTATGAGACGTGTGTCTTGAAGGATGCTGCACACGTACCAGAGGGGGGGTCAGGAATTCCTTGCCGCCTCCTAGAGGATGCTTCTGTGACCTCTGGATATCTTTGCAGAGTGAGTAGTTTTCAACACGGAAATTCAGCGTAGGTCCTCGCGGTGCCAGCGCGACTCTCAGATTGGTGTTGCCGCTCTCAGATCGGGAGAAGAGCAGCAGATGTGTGACACCTAATGGTCCGCACATGGCGGCGTAATCTCTGAGCCTGTTTCCTCTGCGCTCCTTTAACCGACTTGCTGTGCCTGGCTCCATGACTCTGCGCACATCGGCGGCAAGCTGGCTGATGCTGGAACCGACCTCGCCTGCGCCGATTCGGATGACCATGCTCTTGGGGTCGCGTGCCGATGCATGGCCCGGGGCGTCAACTTCAGGGTTGCTAGCACCCAGATGGGTTCTCTTCTTGGTGCGCTTGCGAGCCATGTTTCTGTTGATGGAGGGTCGTTGTCAATTCAATTCGACGTTGAATTCAATTGATTTGGTCAGTACCTCAAATCAAAGAACTGCGGCATGTCCTAAATTATCAGAAAAAAAAGTTGCGGCGATAAGCTTCTCGATTAGATAAGTCTAGAAGGGGTTAGACTGTGAGCCAGGATAAGGGACCCCACTAAAATTTCCATCGCCCATTCAGACTCTTTGACTTTCGAATACTCATTCTTTTCCCACTCGAGTCCGACCAGCATCGTTTAGAGTATAGGATATACACTCGTGGACAAGATGAAGGACGCCAAGCGTAGGAAGCTCTCCAGCGGAGCACGGGATCCCAAGAAACACCACCAAAGTACCGAAGTCCGCGATATTGAGAAACCGTCTCTGAAAGCACCACCGCCACCAAAGCCACCTGCGAACGAGGAGAGCGAGGAACAAGAAGACGAGGCCGAAGAAGAGGATGACGAGGAAGGAGAGGAGGAATCGGCTACTGTCGACGCTCCCTCTGTCGAGGAAGATGCGCCAAAGAAGACGTTTGCCGATTTGGTAAGCTCGCAACATCCTGCTCCAACCCACTGCCTGTAGATATCTATGTTCTTGCGTAATTGACCATTGCCAGGGTATCGTGGACGCTCTTTGCGAAGCATGTGATGCTCTCAACTACAAGCATCCTACAGCGATCCAGGAAAAATCCATTCCCATTGCCCTCCAGGATCGCGATATTATCGGACTGGCAGAGACTGGAAGCGGAAAGACCGCCGCATTCGCTCTTCCAATGCTGCAGGCACTGCTCGACAAGCCCCAGCCACTCTTTGGCCTTGTCCTTGCACCAACTCGCGAGCTAGCCACCCAGATTGGACAGGCTTTCGAGGCCCTTGGCTCTATGATTTCGCTGAGGTGCGCTGTTATTGTTGGAGGTCTGGATATGATGCCCCAGTCCATTGCTCTGAGTAAGAAGCCGCACGTCATCGTCGCCACTCCCGGTCGACTGGTCGATCACTTGGAAAAGACCAAGGGGTTCTCCTTGCGCACCCTCAAGTACCTGGTCATGGACGAGGCGGACCGTCTTCTGGACATGGACTTTGGCCCTAGCATCGACAAGATTTTAAAGTTTGTCCCGCGCGAGCGCCGAACTTTCCTGTTCTCTGCTACCATGAGCTCCAGGGTGGAGAGTCTCCAAAGAGCTAGTTTGCGCGATCCCGTGCGCGTAAGTGTGAGCTCCAACAAGTACCAGACTGTTTCTACGCTGAAGCAGCACTATGTCTTCATCCCCCACGCCCGAAAAGACACCTACCTCATCTTCCTTGTCAATGATTTTGCTGGACAGTCCATCATTATCTTCACTCGCACGGTCTGGGAGACCCAGCGTGTTGCCATTCTTCTGCGTACGCTTGGATTCGGAGCCATCCCCCTCCACGGCCAGCTCTCACAGTCTGCTCGTCTTGGGGCCCTCAACAAGTTCCGTTCTGGTGCCCGCAACATTCTCGTAGCAACCGACGTCGCTGCTCGTGGTCTTGATATTCCCAAGGTCGATGTTGTCCTGAACCACGATCTACCTCAGGACTCCAAGACGTACATCCATCGTGTCGGTCGTACAGCCCGTGCCGGGAAATCGGGTGTCGCCATCAGTATCACAACCCAGTACGACCTGGAGCTGTTCCAGCGAATCGAGGCTGCGCTAGGGAAGAAGCTCTCAGCATACCCGACAGAAAAGGAGGAGGTGATGGCCTTCCAGACTCGCGTGGAAGAGGCCCAGAGGATTGCCAGAGTGGAGATGAGAGATGCGCAAGACCAGAAAGGAAACCGCGGCAGGACGATGCGAGAAAACCGTGGGGCCAAGCGAGGGAGAAGGGATGACATGGATCAGGAGGATGGTTAGATTTGTAGCTTGCTTGCCGCTACGGTTGACGGACAGCGGATAAAGGATAGGCGAGGGAGTTGTGTGCTTTCGTGGTGTATGGCGCTCGTAAAAGTTTTGTTTCAATTTTGGTAGTATGTTCGTAATTTGGTTAATGCTAAAACGTTCAAGTGAGATACCATGTGTAGCTGCGCCTTATTGTACTTCAAGCCCTGGATAATGCTTGTAGCCCTTGGTGCCACTGGTACATAGCTCGACTGAGGTAAAGATTATGGACGATGCTCTACGAGCAAACTAAAGGCTATGCTCTAAATGTAATCATATACATGTTGTGGTTGATTTCTAACTATACTTCTAGGGAGAAAGGACTAACCCTGTGAACGCCATTTTACAAATACTCTTTTGCGCCTGCCATATTTGGTCCTTTTGATTATTTACTCTCCATTGTTTCATCTGCTCTCTCCTCGTCATCGTCATCTTCACCCTCTTGGCCCTCGCTCTCTTCCGGGCCTCTCGTCAGCTCGTCGTCGCCATATGCCATCTCGGTATCTTCATGATCACTTCTGTGAGCCTGCTCCAGCCGGCTGTGGTCCTCCCCCTGATCTTCATCAACACCATCCACGGTCTCTTGGCCTTCTTCTTGCACATCTTCATCCTCATCCATATGTTCAAGTGTAACATCAGCGCCATCTTGCTCTTCATCCATATGCTCGAGAGCTGTCTCATCATCTTCCAGATCGTCTTCCTCACCTTCACTCTCGCTATCGGCATCTTCACCACTGGACTCATCATGTGCAGCATGGCCCCTCAAGTTAGCAAACAGTAAGCCATCCGGCATATCGTCATCGTAGCCCTCGGGCACGTCACTGAGATCACTGTCGTCATCGTCTTCCTCGTGCTCGTGCTCGTGGTCCTGCTCGAGGTCCTGGTCATGATCCTGTTCATGGTCTTGGTCGTGCAGACTCTCAGCGTCTGTTTCCTTGACTTCTGTATCGACTCCTTCTGCGGCCTCTCGCCTGACCTGCGCATCGGGCCCTTCCTCCTCACTGCCACTGCCACTATCATCCTCGCTCATGGCAGCAGCAGGAGTCTGGCTGCCTCGCTGGCTTCCCCGCTTGCTCATTACACTACTAGAGCGAGCTTTGACAGAGCCAGCCTTGGGCTCCATAGACCGCATGACAGCTTGTTCTGCTTTACGGAGGACTTCAGGCCGCCGAATACCCGCTCGTCGGGCGCGAGGTCCAGCTTCGGGTTTCTCTGAATCGTGGGGAGTTGGTGTCGCCCCACGGCTATCCTGCGCTTCAGACGTCGGGAGCAGTCCGTTCAACGCCTTAGGCTGGAGTTCTCCGGTGGCTGCGGTTGCAGCTTCTGCCTCCGCCTTTGCTGCGTTCTCTTTCGCGACGGCCTCCTTTGCCTGGTTCCTTTCTTCGATAACCTTGGCAGGTTCTGGGCCAGGAAGACTGCGTGCAACATCAAGGTAGATCTTGGAATAACAATCGTTGATCAAGTCGTCGATAGGCGCTACCCTTGTGAGACTTGCATTTAGCTTCTTTAACTCGATGGCATCCTTCATGCAACTGAATGTAGGTGTCATCGGTCCTTGAGCAGATGCCCATTCCGTAATTCGCTCGGTTATGATCTCAAACTCTTCATTAGACATGGATTTGAAGACCTCGTCCGTCGAATGGGTAATGCCATAGGTATCGCGGAGCATCTTCACGTAAGCGAGACAGCAGGTATGCCACAGATCGACGAAGTGATAAAAGTCAGCCCCCTTCTTGCGCAGGCGCCGTAACAGCTGTTCCATGTTGACGCGGTCTGACAAGTTGATGAGTAGCTTGGTCATGAAACGCATATATCGCTCGGTATAAACATGGTGGCGCCCAGGCCTCTCGGCATCGCATTTCCAAACATTCATCACCATGGTCTTGGTAAACATGCTCTCGCGAAGAATGTTGAAGGAGGCTTTAGCTTCCACGTAACTATCACTCTCCATACTGGCGGGGGACTTTTCATTGAAGAGGATGCAGGCGTGTCGCATGATGATTCGGTGTTGCCAGTTCGACTTGTCGCGGTCTCGGAGCTTGGTCAGACTGCGGATGACATATTCTTCCCAGTCCTCTGGCTCTGAAAACGACGCGAAGTGGTCATCTGGATCGACAACTATGCCGAAAGGCTGCTCGGAAAGAATTGTCGCCGCCTCGAGGGAAGGGATATCACCGCGCGTGACCAGTTTGTGGAGCACAGAGATGATCTTGTAGTGCGGCTCAAGAACAACGTCATTGCTTCGCGACTTGCGGTTCTTGTGAGCAACTTCCACGGATGTCTTGAGAGCATCAATCAAAGTCTCTAACTTAACCCTTGAATTCTGGTCTTTGGTATCGAGATCAGCTACTGGTGTTTGGTACATCTTCCAGTAACACTTAGCCAGCATGTATGAATTCCTATTCAAGGTTAGCGAATTGGCCAGTCTCTCTAGTAATAGCAGAAGAACTATACTTACTTCCAGTTTTTGGGTTGTCGCTTCATTGCCATTTTGAATAGTTTTGCGGCAAACTTCCAAACCTTGTACTGCGTCATTTCGTCATGAACTATTCTGCTGAAAGCATCGAGACTCATAGTTTCTATAAAGAATCTCTCCTGCTCGGAGTGCTTGAAGGGCTCCATCGCAAATGGCTCTCTACTCGAGGCGTATAGACGCATGCCGAATTTATGATAGAGATCGTGCAACGGATCCCCTTCGTAAGCCTCAACGTCTACAGTAATGGAGTGGGATAGAGCAAGGGTGTAGCAGTGAATAGCACTTCGCTGAAATTTGAGAAGTTCGTTGCGATCCTTGTTGATTTTGTCGGCCGTCCACAGGACAGCTTCATCCAATTCATAATCGAAACACTCAGCCAAGCGAAACCATGCATCCCAGCGGTCAGGGGTGAACTGGAGTTGCAGTCTGAGAAACGTTGCACCGATGCGCAAGTCATCTGTAGCTCCAGGGGTTTGCCGTCGGTTGAGATCGACACCTTTGAATTTGGTCAATGCCAGCATTCCCTGGAGGAAAAACCACCCGTGGGTTGCAATGCCCGATTCAGGGGCATTGACTGAGACCGCATCAACATCGATGCTTCCGGTAAGCGCGCGGTACATCCGAAGGGGATGGATGGGCCTTTTCAAGTATTCTTGGAAGTTTCGCAAGTTGAAAATCATTTGCGGTGTTGATTTCAATTGCCCGATTGTCTGCTGCATATGATCTATTGTTGTCTTGAGATCTGATTTGAGCAGATCCTTCATTGACATGCGATTCGCCAGTATCATGATTCTCTCGACAAGTTGCATCGTCTTGGACTTTTCTAAAGACTCATGAGGAACGCCATGTTCTTGGACCTCCCAGGCGCCAACACCAAGTTTCAGTCCGTAGAGATCGTAGAGAACTTGTTCGAGATAATCCTCCCAATTTTCCAACGTCTTCAATTTGAGAAGCTCTGCTCGCATCACCTTTAAGAAGATCTTATTGGAAACCTTGCAGTATTTACGCAACCCAATGGCATGGTGAATCGCGGCAAGCAAGTCCGCCAGCTCGTTATCAGGCGATATGAAGGAACCTTGCTGGCGGATGCCGGCCTTGAGAAGCGTGTATTGAAGCGACCATGCGCGCACCTGCATCTCGCGCATCTTGTTCACCAAGGCCGTGTAGGTTGCACTATTTGATGGCGCTGGCGTGACTCCAACACGGACATCATCTTCACAGATGGCGGCGACATGCAGGAGGCAATTCACCTTGGCAACAGCTGCAACGCTTGACTTGATGTGCTCCTCGTCAATAATATCAAAGGCACTAGGTTCATTCAAGCTCATGGTCAGGGCGTGAATAACCTGTTCGTCCAAAGACTTTAGGGTTCTCATCAGAAGCAGCCTTCGAGATTCATAGGCAGTTTTAGTGTATGCTTCAGCCTCGAGATCAGCCACAATCATCTCGATACTTTTTAGGTAGCAAGAAAATTTCTTGGTTGGATAATCAATGGCAAGGTATGCATCTCCTAATCGAGACCACAGAAAAAGTCTTAGCTCAGTGCTGCTGGTGAGCAGAAACTTCCATAGGTCACGCAGGCCCTGGCCGGCACAATCTGAGATCGGTTTCCCCTCATCCTGAGCTTCTTCTTTGGTGGACTCATCGTCCGCAGACGCGGTAGGCGTTGGCGGCTCGGGGACGACATGTACAGATGTAGGGTTCAGGACAGGCTCCAGTGTTTCAATCACTTCAATTGGACTCTTCATCTCCTCTTGAAACAGGCCGAGAAAGAAATCCATTGTGGTGAGTTTTGAAATCTCGCGATCCGCAGCAGCCGGGGAGATTATCGGCATCACCACGTTGTTTGGAAGAGATATAAGTTCCACCTTTTGCTCAGACAAGAAATCTCTGAGAGAAGTCCACATGAGAAGGATATGCTCGCGAACTGGCTCCTCTACAAGCGCGGAGACAAGGACCGAGCCCCATAAGAATCGTACACTCAAATTATCGTTCGGCGGGAGGTCAAGAAGCTGGATATAACCCGAAGCGATGCCAAGCCATCTATTGAGACGATCTTTCGTCTCTACACGAGTAGCGTAGTCTACCACGCTATTCGGATTCGTGATTCGTTCGTATATATCAATGTGAAGCTCAAACAGCATAGGTATGATATGGTTGAGGGACTCTAGTTGCTCGGGAGCAGCCGGCAACGAGTTCAAGTCGTAATTGATCCTCTCCAGTAAGATAGAATCAACACGATTGAGCATTTGAACAACAGTTGTTTTCATTGTATCAGACCATTTTGCAGACGTGTAGCTAGGCGCAATGGCCTTGACCCATTCAAAGGCAATGTCACTACCCGTTGCCCAGGGGCCATATTTCTTGATTTCCTCTGCAAAAGCCTCTAGGCCTTTCTCCTCGTCAAATGACCCGGTTTCAGGCTGGTCTTGTGATCCAGACTTGGCGTGCTCAAGAAATGAGGAAAGACTGAGTGTCGGCTTCTCCTTCTTATCGAGTAGTACTCGAACAGTGTTGTCGCTGAATTCAGTGAGAACACTTCGGAGGTCTCTGGAAGCCAGCGATGTCACCTTGGCCAAGCGATCTTCAGCTGTAGAGGATTGGTGGAGCTCTACCAAACAGTCAATGGCGCTTTTGTCTTCAACGCCTAGGTTCTCTGCAACGTTCTGGACCATGTGAAACAAGTGGCTATCTGCCTCCTGGCATGGCTGGAGTTGGTTCGCGATAATTGTGCTGGGGTCCGCAACCTCTTCGGCGGTTGCTGTCTCCCGTCGTCGGACGCGCTTACTCCTCTTCTCAGCAGTATTGTCCTCGTCAGCCCCATCTGGTAATCCAGCGACAGACTGTGAGCGCTTTCTTGTGGCTGGTACCGATTGACTCCGTTCTTTCTGAGGCTTGTCCGAGCCCTGTTGTGACGGGGCCGGCTCCTTCTGAGCGTCTCCCGTAGCTTTCTCGCCCGTCTCATCCGTTGATTTCTCACGGGAACCATCTTTGACAGCTTCATTGACTTTCTTGTCTGGCTCAGTGGATTGTGGAGGCGTCGGGTTGGCAATCTTGCCGCCTTCTGGGTGAGAGACTTGTGGGATTTCTTGGCAAATTCGCAACGCGGCCTTGTTATTTTCAATGTGTTTCATGAGACGGAGACCTAAGCTGGGCCAAGATGAACTGGATTCCGACTCATGATCCTCGTCCATAGGCTCAGGCTCGTCCTCTTCAAGGAGATTGTCAGATTCTGCGGGGGTCGAGGGGGGCGGTGTTAATGATTGGGTCGGGTCGGGGAGATATGGTATAGGATCGAGGTGTCGTTTGATCATCGACGGCATTTCTTTCTTAATCCATGGTGCCATCCCTGGGTGCGAGAGGGCTATTTCGTCATTGAGGAGCTTCAGCTGGTCCTTCAACTGCTCTCCAGCTAGACCTTCGGCTAACGAAGGTGGCTCGATTTCCATAACTGCTGGATCATCATCCAGCTCAATGGCCGCCTCTAAACAATAACGCTTGAGCCTTCCGCTGTTCAGAGCAGCACCGAAGCGAGCAGCCCGACGCCAGACTTCGGGGTCGGAAGGATCCTGGTCCAAAGCTCGTGCCCAATTTTCCAATATTTTGCTTGCACCATCTTGATGGAAGAATACTCGGGCCTTCTTCACATCCGGGTCCGACTGCAGTTTATCCTTTAGCTTGTCAAGGAAGAATTCGCCGTAGTTTTTGTATCCCAGGTATAATGCCAGAGAAAGACTAGCAGCGACCCCATCGGCACCGCCAGCATCAATGTCTAATCCTGCTGAAAAGGAGTCGAGACTTTGTGGTTCGGTTACGTTCCCAGCATGACGCTCTGCTCGCTCGTAGTCTGTCTGGGCCTCGCGGTACTTGAATACTTCCGAGTCGAAGAGCTCTATGTAGGCTGATTCGGCAGCTTCGCGCGATCGGGAACCCTGTGCATGGAGCCGAAGGGCATTTTGGAACCGTTTGAGTGCTTCGTCGACCTAGTCAAGCATCAGTAATGGTCATGATATCCAGGTGCAGAAGCAGTTACGCACATGGATCTCCTTTGTGGTATCGATCAGGTCATCGACGTTTTCCTCTGGCTCGAGGTTGATAGCTTGGAAACCCGGCTGCGAAAGGAGTCAGTAGTCATGTTCTTCGTCGAGGCTCTCTCCCGGCTCACCATGGTTATCGCCGCAACTAGAGACAGCTACAGCAAGAGCGCCGGCATATGTGTGATGGAAAATAACTTCCTCCCATGCGAATAGCGAGCGGCGTCTTGGATGCAGATGTAGAATGTTGCGCGGTGTTTAATCTGGTCCCCCAGGTTGGCGGACAATGGCGAAGCTTCGATGGTCTCGGCTCCGATCTCAATGCGCGTCCATTGCAGACGCGACCACTTTGTTCCATTCAATTTACGCTCACTATCTTATCAGGCCGCCTTGCGCTAGGCCGCCTGTAAGGTTACCCAGCCGCTGCTGGCCTGACCTAGAAGTGGAGCTGCCCTGCCGCAGAGGCTGAGGTCAAGCCACCGGATAATTGGAGGTTGCACGCGAGCTGTGGCGTAACTTCGTCCGAAGCATTGTAGCTCCTGCAAAAGCCACGACGACTAATTACCTAGTATCATGGTTGCAGCTCATAAGCTGGATAACCCCCCAGAGCCACACCCCCTGAATTCAGCGACTGCATGAGCCGCGCCGTTGGGTCGAATACTCTGTGTGTCCTCCTTTCGTTCGTTTGCATTCCTTGTCATTGAGAGTTCGGCCGTTATCGATCGGGCTCGAGTTACCAGCTTGCTAGTTCCAGGAGTCATTAGCGTGTCGCGAATCTCCCCAGGACTGCTTGAGGGTATCAAGGGAGCTTGAAAGCCCAACACTGTCGCCATGGTTGCGCCTGCTGTCCCTGAGTATGTTTTACTATCTCCTCCGATCCCTTCGTCGCATCTACAGTGACTGACAGCTGTCTGCACAGGCTTACAGAGGAGGTGCTCCACGAATCGCTCGATGCTCGAACCGAATCGCTCTCGAGTCTTCGGGAGCTCGGCCCTCCGGATCTGGTTCATCTGGTGAAGCAGGGCATTCGCAATCAGGGGAAGCAGGTATGTTTGATGATGATGCCCCTGGCCGGATCCCCAGTTGGATCATGCGCTAATGTTGGCAGATTGGTATTTACCACCATGTCACCGGCGTCGACGCTTCTTCTTCAGCCAGTCTCGCAGCATACATCAACACCCTAACCTACAGAGAGCACGGCCCGAATGCGACCAACAAGATTGTCGAAGGCGTATACTGGTGCGCCACTCCCATCCCTCTCCCTCGATCATGAGGGCTCACTGCGGAATACCGAAGGCTGATTGACCAAAATAGCTGTTACAATGCGTTCTCGAGACTAGATATGCGTATACATGTTTCCATCCCTGGAACTGTCGAGAGCTACTGCGTGGACGAGCGAGGTGATAAGAGAAAGGCCACCGACGAACTCTGGCTAGAGACATATCTTTGCAGTGTCTTACGAGCATATTCATACGCCGATGATGGTAGCGGCGAAACGATCCGAAAGATTATGGGAGTGCGTCGCTTCAACCCGGTCACCAACACCGAGACAGAGCACCGGTTCCTCCACTCCGCAGAGCAACTCTTTTTCCGAGGTGGGTGATGCGAAATTCACGAGACTTGACTTGCCTTGGTCAACCGGCTAATTCGATCTCGTCATAGGTTACCAATTGGGTTCGGATTCTGTTGTACAAGTGCCAACTAACGTATCCAACCACCTTACCGTTGGTCTTCTGAAGTACCTAGAGACGACGGGTCGATATGCTTCCGGAATTAACCTGTTCGAAAAGCTCCGCTCTCAGAGTGTTGAAGTATCGTCCCTGTTGGCCAAGGTTCAATTCATGGGCAATGAGGAGGTTGCAGGTGTCAGGACGTTGCATCATGCTCTAACCGAAATTCCTATGGACTATGTCATGCTCGACACCCAGGCAGAGTTCTTGCTACACAAGGCCAAGACCGCACCCACGCGCGAGCTGAAGGAAGAGAGGCTGAGGATGGCGCTCAAATGCGCAGATCGCGCAACGATCGCGGCACCTAGCGAATTCGGCACCTGGGCTCGCCTAGCACAGGTCTATGTGGCCATGGAGGACTGGGAGAATGCCCTTACGATTCTGAATTCGTGCCCCATGTTTTCCTACCAGGATAAGGATACTCCGATCATGCCAGAGCCCAGAGAGGTGCAGCTGCCAACCCTCGCCGAAACCAGACTCGATGAAATCGATAGCGAACCCGAAGGACGATTCTCAGACCAAGTTGACCCTAACCTCCTTGGTCTGCGAGCAGCATCTTACAAGGGCACGTTCAAGCAGGCGTACAACATTCTAACAGAGATGACAGCCAAAATTGGGTGGGACCAGCTTCTAAAAATCCGCAGTACAGTATTCGTCATGGAAGACGAGTACCGCACAGAGAAACACGAGGCATCGAGGAGAAACCCTAGCATTGATGGTCTTCGAGGCACTCCAGTTCCTACCGCGAACGGCGATGACGAGTCAGAGGACGATGAACATGATGAGACTGTTATCAAGATGGGCGAGAACGACTCGGCTACGGATGCCTTGAGGATCAATGGTGGCACCGGCGTCGAGGTCGGCGAACTTGAGAGACCTTCGAGTGCGATCGATCCTGGTGATACGGAAAATGTGAGTACAGCTTTTATTGACCTTCTTGAGAGGTTATTTTCCATCACAATTGCAACGAGTAGCGGGCTAACCAGATATGCGCAGGGCGAATCCAATGATGACCATCTATCTAAGCTCAATACCAAGCGCCTTTGTGAGAGGTGGCTGGACAGCTTGTTCATGGTTCTCTATGAGGATCTCAAGGTTTACACCATCTGGCGTACACAAATGGCGCAATACCGCGCTCAACAGCTCCAGTATAAGAAATCGGCTGAGGAGTGGGCGATTCTGGGATCGTTGGCTGAGCGGCTACAGCATCTGGATGAAGCTGTCGAGGCGTACCGTGCCTGTCTGTCACTTCGGTTCAGCCCCAAGGCGCTTGCTGGAATCCTGCGTGTTTACAAGCACGACAAGAACACCAGGGACATGGTCCAGTCGGTGATTAGGCTAGTTGCCTGGCAGTACCGCTGGTACAGCGAGTTCAGCCCCGAGCTTCTGCACACAATCAGGAGCCTGATTGAGGATGAAGGGGCCGTCAAGGTTCGGAGTATTGTGCAAGCAACAAGCCTGCCACAAACCGTCCTGGATCTCACACACCACTACGCGGCACTTTGCGCCACATTCCGAAGCAGCGGCACTGATGGTTAGTCACTCTCGGACTAAGGATATGCTGAGGAAGGGAGAATGGGTCATACTGATGAGGTATACATGGCGGGTGGGCAATGCGCTTTGCATACTGATTGATGCCCATTATTTCTAGCAGTGGGGGATTTAACCATTTTGTTTTTCAAACCGAGTGCTCTTTCGATATTGTATGTGGAAAACTGCAGAAGGCGCCGGGCCAGGGGCAGGGATCACGTCGAATTCTCTTACCAAGGATAGTTATTTGTTGACGGGGTGATTAATGAACAAGCCACCTATTCGCAGAGATCTGTCTTGTAGTTGAGTGCTGATACCAGGCAGTATTCCAGAAACTGAGACTGGTCAGATAGAAATAGATATTTATACAACATACATACACCTACCTTCCAGTCATACGTGCGACTGTCTTGCTCATGTAATCAGATGTGGATGGATGGGCCCCGCGCGGGGCAGCACTAACATCTAAGGTATGACTTCAGAAAAGCTGCTGTTGGAGGCTCTGCCAGTGCCCGCCAAGGCAAATTTTCCCGTTTGTAGCCACAGCACAGCAAAAGCTTCTTCCAACCTCGCAGGGAGCCCTCGCCTCGACGATCAACAACGCGACTGGGTGCGACAGAAGCTGAGACTCGGAACGAAGCTACAACTCGATCCAAGCGGAAAGAAACCCGGAATTCTACCTCCTCATGGCATCGGCATCAGCATCGGCGACTGCTGCGCCAGTCGATGCAGCGTCGATGCCCCCGGCCATCGTCTGCATTGGCATGGCAGGTTCGTCTAGTTCATTCTCGTCCTCCAGGTTGTGATGCTGATGTTGGCTTGTCTACCCAGGCTCTGGCAAAACTACCTTTATGCGACGAATCAACGCCTATCTTCATTCAAAGCAAACACCGCCTTATGTGATCAATCTCGATCCCGCCGTCCTCAGCGTTCCCTTCGAGTCGAATATTGACATCCGCGATTCGGTCAACTATGAGGAGGTTATGAAACAGTACAATCTCGGCCCCAACGGCGGCATCCTCACCTCTCTGAACCTCTTCGCCACCAAGGTCGACCAGATTGTCAACTTGCTGGAGAAGCGCGCAGTACCAGACCCCGAGGCTCCCGACCGCAAGCCCATCGAGAACATTCTTGTCGACACGCCCGGACAGATCGAGGTCTTCGTCTGGTCAGCGTCCGGTACCATCCTGCTGGAAAGTCTGGCGAGCTCGTTCCCAACCGTCATCGCCTACATCATCGACACGCCGCGCACCTCGTCAACGTCAACCTTCATGTCCAATATGCTCTACGCCTGCTCCATTCTCTACAAGACGAAGCTCCCCATGATCCTCGTCTTCAACAAGACCGATGTCAAGGATGCATCATTTGCCAAGGAGTGGATGACCGACTTTGAGGCGTTCCAGGAGGCTCTCCGCCGCGACGAGGACGCGGATTTGATGGGCGGCGGTGAGGGTGCATCTGGCCACGGGGGAAGCGGGTACATGGGCAGCCTGCTCAACTCTATGAGCTTGATGCTCGAGGAATTCTACTCGCACCTCAGCGTCGTCGGGGTAAGCTCCAAGGTGGGAACCGGGATCGACGAGTTCTTCGAGGCTGTTGAGGAGAAGAAGAAGGAGTTTATTGATGACTATCTCCCCGAGCTGCAGCGACGGAGGCAAGAGCGGGAAGAGGCAAGGAAGAAGTCGCGTGACAAGGAACTCGACAAGATGATGCAGGGCATGTCTGTCGGCGCGGTGGCTCCCATTCTTCGCAATGCGGATGATGACGATGATATCGACGTCGCCAGCGACGTTGAGGACGATGATGATGAGGACGATGACGAGAATGATCCAGAGGGGCTGCAGTCACGATACCAGGCAGCCATGGGGGAGAAGGACGACTCGGTCATGGCAGATGCAAGCTTCGCCAAGTATCTGTACAAGCGAGGATGATCTGAAGGCGGCGAGCTGCGGTATTAGAATAAGGCAAAAAAATTACGGGCATTTGGCGTCTTAGAATAATGGGCTTTGATATGATATGATATGATTTGCCGGGGAAACGGCAGTGGAAAATACATTAATTTCCTCACGTATTGATTTACTATCCTCTGTCCAACCAGTGGAAGGATGGACTTCGCAGCATTTAAATGAGACGGATATCGCCGTCACGTAGGGAGCATTACTACATGCTTGCTCGACCACCATCATAATCAACTGCCCACCGCCGTCCTCTCAGTCCAGGCCGATCAGGTGCAGGACGTGAAAATGCGTTCCCCTCTCTAGTCAAAAGAAAAACTCCCATACACCAAACCCAAAATGCACACCAAGGCAATCGTCCTTCCTCTCCCGTTCCGTGGATATATGCATCGATCATGAAGCCTATTCGCTTTCGTTGCGGATTGCTCTATCTAGCCTCGAACTGGACCATGCTATAGACAATGAAGAAAACGATGGGTTAGTCACAAATGAACAAGCGACATTTTGCATGGGAGAGCTTGACTGCCCCAGTCCGGGTGGACAAAGAAGCACGTAAAGGAACAGAGGAGCCTCAGGGAAACCTACCGCTTTGTACGCTCCTTGTAGAGAACGCGGCCAGCGCAGTGCGGGCAGGCGACAGTGGAATCTTTTCCGAGATGGACGGAGCCGCCGCAGTCACCGCAGAGGTAGCTTATGACGGAGGAGCGAGTGTCTTGCATGCCGGTCGAGCCACGGGCAACGGCTCCGGAGCCAGCGCTGGCGGTGGGGACCTGGTATCCTTCGCGGGACATTGTCGCTTTATTAAATTCGGCGGGCTTTTTGTTTTCAGGGCGTTTCGAATCTGTTGGGGGCAGGGTCGGGAGACAGCGCAATATGGTCGTGGTTTGATTTTTCTGCGGTCAGCGTAGATGTATGACCAACCATCCGCGCGACAGAAAGAAAAAGAAAGCGGTGAGTAGTGGGGATTTGTCCGGCAGAACCGCGCTAGCCTGCCGGCCGAATCGGGTCAGGCGGTGAGGAAGCTGCCTCGGTCTGCGATGGAAGATGGAAAAGTAATTAAATAGCTGGATGGGTTTCTCTTTGGGATTCCCCAGGTTTAGCTTGATTCCAATGAGCTTGCCAACGAGCCCTCGCCGGCTTGTGGTCCGGTAGAGCACCCACCCCAGTACACAGCGTGGTATTGCAGCAGAGCGTGAGAGCAACAGGCTGCTCCCACTTGTGGAGGAATTTCTTCCCCAGATAGAGGAGGGGCCGTGGGTGTATCGCATACCTCAGCGGTTGGTTGGTTCCTGGGCTGTATCACATTTCACAGTAGAAGGGGAGACGCGGTGGTTGGAATGGAGTGCTGGGTTGTTGCTCCGAGAGCTGGCTGTACGCGGGTATCACAGTCCAACCCAGACAATGCTGAGCATTATACAATCGGGCGCTCAGCATTCTACGTATGTTGTTGAGCGGATGCCTGAGACTTTCACCTTTCACCTCGTCACAGTGGGGAGCAGCAGACCGTTTCCTCTGCCCAATGGTATCTTGGAAGGTGAAGACGAGGAGGGAACTACGTAGCGAAGTTCGGTCAACAAAGACCTACGCATTGACTTGGGATGGGCGGTCAAGCTGCTTGATTTTTTTCAGCAGCAGGAGGCCACGGACCCAGCGCATAGAGCGGCAAATGGCAGCTTCTGTACTGCTTTCCCCCTTTTCTACAATTGTTCACCTGTCTTGGCAAATGGGCAGACCGAAACGCCCGGAGGCACATGTGCGCGGAGTTGGCTGGCTCTGGCAGGAGATTGGTCGGGATGGGATGGAAATACACGGTTAGGGGAGCCTTGTCCATCTTGTCACCTAGTTAGTGCTCATCTTCGCGTTGATTGATTGCTCGAACGTGGGTGGAGGCTTCGTCTCGGCCCAACTCCCCAGACCATGGCGATGGCCCAGCAAAATGTGTGCTGGGCCGGTGAGATCCGGCGACGGGACAGCGAGGAGCAGAGCGAGAAGATCAGCTCGCGCATCTCGCTGCATTCGTCCATCCTTGCATAGGCAGCTGATGATGCAGCACCACCTGTGTAACTTTGCCCCGTCCCCTACCATCCCATCCCATCCACTTTTTTCCTTCCATCTTTTCACCTCTCTTCCCGCCTTTCCTCGTCGTCGTCCGGGGCTTGCCGCTCGAGGCAGGTCAGGTGAGGCGTGCCAGGTGTGGTGAGGATGGTCTGTCCCGCAAGCGGAAGTAAGTGAAGTCAAGCAAGTGGGTTCCCGCCGCGCTGGTTCCGTGCATCATGTCCCCTCACTGCCTACGTGGGAAAGGACAGGGGAGCAAGCAGCAGACCAGGCCGGGGCTCTGCATGGCGATGGGGCTGACTTGCAGGGTGCAGTAGCTACGGACGGATGCAAAGCAGTCGGCCGATGCTGTGGCCGACGGGAGGCAAATACCTGCAGTGCAGCGCAGCGCATTGCAGCGTCACCAGCCGCGAGTCCCCGTCCATCAATTCCCGTCATCCAGTCAGCCAGCTATCATGGGCCAGCTTGCCCATCCGGACCGTCTCGAGAAAAAAGAAGACGTGGCCCCGCTAGTCAACCGGCCATCTGTCGTGCGACTACACGAACCAACCGTAAGCGTTACTTGATCCATGGCGTTGCTTGATGCACGCCGACGAAACGGCCGATGCTGGCTTCCAAGATAGGACGATATCGACATCAGCAGCACCCAGATGAGCAGAGCTGAATGTGCTATTTCCTTAATCGTCTGTCAGTGCATCCAGCTGGTCAGCCACAACCGCCGCCGCTGCCTTGGCTGGGCTGGGCCGTTCAACGGAAAGGCAATTGAAATACCCATATGTTGCGAACGGTTCGCCCATCAGCCTGGCCCAGCACGTCATTGTAGGTTGTAAATGGCCTTGGCTGCTCTGTAAACTCAATGTCTACGTCGCTACGCATGGTACGGATGTGTTCGTCTGCCACATTCGCCAATGGCGACTAGTAGGCGACGTCTTGTGGCCGCGTCTCCCACCCGCACATGCCAACCTGTTCGTTGATGTCCGGGCTGGGCAGACTTGGCTCGATTACGGTGGCGATGGTGGTGTTGGCGGCAGAGGCTGCAGACATACATTAGTGTTAGCTACCTTACACATCCGGCAGTTGCGGCATGTGCAAGGAGCCGAATCAGTACAAACTTACATCCATTACATACGAGTACGGATTAAGGTTGGGCAACAAGTAGGCCTGGGCAGCTAAGCTAGTTTTTTTTTTTTTTCATGTGTGCTGAGTGTGTGTGTGCAAGAGGTTGGAAGCTCTATTCGCTAGCTTCACAAGAGAGTGATAGCTAACAGGGTCATCTCTCAACGACATCCAATAGATCACAATGCCGGACTGGTCTCTCAGTAGCTAAGCCTAGACGCTGGCTAATTCGTATTTACGTACCGCGCAATAGAGACACGCCCAGACGGACAAGAGAGATATCGCCGTAGTTGCGGACAATGGCAGCAACATGTTGTCACCGTGACAGGTGGTCCGCTCTCTCGTTTCTTTTTCGACTCCTTATCCTGGTTTTCCTTTTCTTTTCTCCTTAAAAAGTGGAATGATCAAGTGACTGCGATGGGGTCAAACAGGCAGCATTACCGGGTTATCCCCTCCCCATAACCGCTCGTGTGTCAAGTCGATCCAATGGTTGGGGAAAAAGAGGATGCTGAGGAAAAAGTAAAGAAGCCGAGCGAGAGAGAAAGTGGCAGCCGGCGCTGTGATTGGTCGCTGGCCAGACGAGGATGCTCGGTTAAAAGTAGAAAAGGGCCCCATTCTCGGCAGCCGTTTGCGAGAGTGTTGGTTCTTGGTACCAGTGTCACGGAACTCTGGGTCCATCGGGCCAGGGCAGGGCAGGGCAGGGCATGGCGGCCAGCTGGCAGGCCACGGATCGACTGGAGGCCAAACGCCGCTGGGACGGATCCATGGGTTTGCGCATTCGACAGCTCGGAATTATCCCAGCTTAGCACCTACCGTACATTGATGCTACAGGCACGTACGTGCAGAAATACAGCGTCGGCAGTGGGCAGCCGGTGCTGAGCTTAGCGCCCTGGCAGCTCTCGGAGGCCCCCATAATTCTGCCCCGGCGATAGAGCCATCAAACGCCGGTACCAAGCGACCGCCCGCCCCTCCGCTCAGAACCCCAAGCAGGCACATCAGGCAGGTACCACCTTACACTACACAGGCCTGGAGACTCTATCTCATTCACCGCCCCTGCTGGCCCAAGTCGATGCTGCTAGATCGGGGTGGTTCTGGGGTCTGCCTGGGCTCATCGACCGCTGGGCATGGCAGCCAGATACACCCATCCAATGCTACCCGCTGTCTCGCTTTCCTTGGGTGACATATCTGAATCTGATCCATAATATGTCTCCGGTTTTTGGGCTGATTTTTCTTTTCTTTTTTCGCCTTGGTCTCTTGCGCCCACGGCATCTTGCTCTCCTGATTCGCCATCCAGTTGAAGCAACCGCTGTTCCAATATTGCTGTCATCCTCTAGCTCATGCGCCGGCAATTGAGGTCGGAGAAGAACAGGGCAGAGACCGAAACCAACCTCTAGCGCCCCAGGAACCACTCCGTGTGGGCTGAAGCCAGTGATTGACCGTCTCTGCTAGCGTATTCGTGCGTGCAATGGACTCATTGATACACGTAGGTATGTTCAAGGGTCCTGCTCCCGTGGGCCCGCCGGCTCGTCTGTCTTTGAAGATCTCCAAACTCTGTGTGCTGCTCACGCCAGCCGTACGTGGCATCCTCACCAGAAAACATACCTCCCTAACTCGCATACATACTTTCTGCCGCGTACATACGGCCGTTCCATAGCTCCGCCGCCGCCGCCGCCATGGCCGCCGCATTCATCGTCTCCAGGCCCGTCCAGCGAGCGAGCGCATCAATACTGCAAGACGCACACACCCTGGCAATCCCCGTTCCCCGGAACCACGGTAGATCATACGTAGTGAGCTCTGGATCCCTGCCTGCCCTATCCACGCACACATGTGCTACGTGCTATGTTGTGCTCTGTCGTTTGGATGGCCTGGGCCTGGGCATGAGGGCGGCTCTCCAGACCGGGGCGTGTCTGTAGAAAGCACGTTCAGGCACAGGGGAAGCAAAAGTAAAATAAGACGTAGCTGCTGGTGTGTGGGACACGAGGAGGAGGGAGTGACTGAGCGGGTGGATCGCCAGTCACATCAGCTCTCCCGCCTGTCTGTCTGCTGTCCCTCCATCTGCTCCGGCCCTTCATTGGGCGGTGCTCTGGCGGGAGGCGGCCAGAAACCAGATTAACGTGGGAAAGTAGGTCAGAAAAGTGCCCAGCTGGGTGGATGGGACAGATGAGAGGGCCATGGATCGACGCCCGCACCCGGCGCATGTCCGTTCTCCATCTTTCGCGAGTCGGTCTGGCTGCCACCACCGTCGGACCGTCCAGTTATTGTGCGAAGTCAAACAGAGGAAAAAGTAAAGCCTGGGCTAAGGCAATATCGGGCTTCTCTTATTGCCCCTCCATCCATCAATCAGTGCTGCCTCTGCGCTTGTTCTCTCCTCGCCAGCCCACTCTGCTCTCCCCCAGTTCTCTCTGGCCCATTGACGGATCCTTGCAGGCAAGCAATGGCTTCTTCGGCCGAGGGCACTCGAGACATTCCAATACGTCCTTGACCGGTGGTAGAATAACCCTTGCTACGTATGACATTACCTACATTCGCACACACACACATACATACACATACATTACATACACGCACATCCTGCCGCCGGCCTGCCACTCAATCTCGACCCGCCTGGTCCTCATCTCCGCCCTGTCCCCTTCTTTTCTTCTTTCACGGCCCAACGAATCTTCCAACCAACCATCTGTGCTATATCCAGCTGCCTATACCGTCCATTATATTACCTACCTCGCAATATCCTGCCCGGCGCAGAATCTCATGTAAGATCCCTCCATTGCCCATTTCACCCACGCCGCACGCCCATAGACATATATACACGCAGACGCCCAGCACCAAGCACACGCTCTTTCACACACGACCAGCACCAACACTACTCTATTTCCCTCTGCGGCTCCTGTGTTCTGCCAAACGGCCCTTTCGTGTCTGCACGACCAACAGTGTCAAGAACCACAGTCTCCTGCTCCATCCTGCTCCTACCCATCCTCACCTTCAATCACCCCATTCTCATCCCACCACCACCTTCCTGTGTGTGTTTCCTCCATCGGCCTGCCTCCCTTGTCCTCCTGCCCTCCGGCCGCCAGTCAGCTTTGCTACCTGCGTCATATGTGCATACGTCCATCCGTACACCCACCACATAGCGCCATCCGCTCACCTATTTAAACCATGGGGCAGCCCTCGAATTCTTCTTTTCAAACAACACAAACCTCTGAAAAGTCCATCCCATCCTCGAATCGGTGTATGTTTCTCCCGCCGCTTCCTATCACGCCTCGGCCATATATAAATGTTATCGTAGAGGAGGAATCGGTTCCGCTAACATGAAAACCAGCGACTCAGCAACCAAACATAGATCGAAAGAAGCGCCACTCCAGCAGATCTTCTCGCTCCAGACGCTCCTCAAGGCACCTCACAGCCGAAATACAACTACAACAACACCTCGAGAGACTCGCCTACCCAGACGCCATGGCCCGCTCGGAAGACAGCACCGGATCCCCTCGCCAGTACGAGTCCAGTCCAGCTCCCTCATCCGCGCCAAGCGAGCCCTCCAGCATCGACTCCCAAGCCACCTCGTCCACCTCCACCACCATTTCTTCCACCGGGGGCGGGCTCCACGACGGCAATTGCCACTTTGCCTACTCAGCTGAGCTACGGATGGTGGACACCCTGGTGTCTCTCCTGGCCCAGAACGCACGCGGGCAGTCGTCATCCTCCTCCTCCTCGGGACAGCCATGAAGCGAAGAGAAGCCCCATTTCTTTGCTTCCTCGTCAAGCCGTCGTCGTGTTCTCTCTCGCATTCTTCCTAGTCATCTCCTCATATCGCTCTTTTCTCTCCTTCTCCGTCACTTATTGCTGTCTTTTTCTCTCTTTTTTCTTATTTTGCAGGCGTAAGGATGCCAATATCATGGGTGGGCAGGCTACTTTGAATCAGATTGTTTGGGTTACGGCGGATATCTTTAGCGAGCGCAAGCATCATGTGGTTTCCCGGTCCGTATTGGGAGAGGGGACCTGCCTAGAATAAAACACAAACAAAGATCATCTTCAGCCAAAGTCTACGTTCCTCCTCGTTTACAAATCGCGGGTTTCTTGAGATACCAGTATCCTGAAGACCAGCTGAGGGGGGCCAGAGCCCCCCCCCCCCCACCCCCCTCCTTCAACGCAACGCAGAAAGATTCAGCTACGAGTTATTCCCCTCTCCACCAGCCCTTTTGACACGAAACACCACATGTCTTCCCTATCATAGCCAGAGGCAGAAAGCGACGCCGGGGGGAGAATCGTTTGATTCGCCAGATCAACGGGGCGGGGAACATGGGGCGGATCGGGTGCGTGTAATGCCAGTAGGGTTACGACCAAGAGCAGGCCACAGCCCCAATTCTGCAGCATGGTAGTAATGAAGGTCAAGGGGACTTCCCTCTCCAATAGTTCATGCATTCGGTGTTCGTACTATTACGTATTCGTGAGCTGGCGCAGCATTTCGCCGGCTGTGCGGGTCTGCCACTACAACAAAAGGATCGTGCAGAAGGGATGGAGGGAAGTATACCGAGTTGGGAGCCGGTAGGCCATGATGCGGCCCCGTTACGTGAAGTGTTAGCTCCAAGCATGTCTATGACGAGAGATTGAGCTTGCGTTTGGGTAGTATTCTGAACTTCTGTCGAAGAAGAGGTGGGGGGCGATTTCAACCTCCCCCGAGTTGACAATCACCCTCCCGCGTGTAAGCTGTGCCCAACAGTGTGACATCTCTCACGGGTTTCTCATATACCCCGTGCAGGGTTAACACGTCTCAACACCGAAGCTGTGCTCGCAATGGCCAGATATGCATGCGCTTGCTCACGATGGTTTCCACGTTTCCACCGGTCTGCAGGTCCTTTTGGTGGCGATCTAAATAGGAAAGAGGAGTCCAGTCTTCGGGCGAGCTTGTGAGAGTATGTAGAGGCTTGTATGACTCGACCCAGACGCAGAGTTTGCGTCTCCAACGACTTCCCAGAGCCTCTGCGCCTAGAGGATCTATCTTTGTCCACGGGGCCACCGGCGCAAAAGCAAACGAAGCCCAGTTCTCATGAGGGAGCGTTGAGGCCCGACGCCCCTGTGATGTATTAACGCCGATCTATGTTTCGGCGAATGCAATATCACTTAACAGTTCTGCGAACGAAAGAGTGGCCAAAAGCTGTGGCCCTTCGCGAGGGGTGGACCACTTGTGCGTCGGTACACCCGTCTTTGTGTGTTCTTTGTGCGTTCATGGCCAACACTGACTTGATGAATCTCTGGTCCGCAATCTTATGTCCGATCCTTGGGAAGCTCAAGAGCGACGGCTCCGACCGACTGTGCCACCAACGAGCCTAACGAGGCGACCGAGATTGTGGGATGGGTCTTGCTCTTCCTATGTTCCCCGGTTCCCGTCTTCAAGAACAGGGGGGATGACTAGGGCCACCTGGCAGACTGGGTCCTGCTGGCGCACCCTGGCTATTGATATTCAGAGAAAGAGAGGCAGCTCGCAGAATACAGGTTCCTATGATCCCCCTCGTTCTTGGCTCTTGGTGCGATGCGGACAATGATCCCTTCTAGCGTGACCGGGGCTTCCCCCATGGCGCTGTCTAGTCTCATCCACTTGAAAGGAACTGGACGCTGTTGGTCGATCGATCGAACCGAGCCCAAGAAGCCTGGCTTAGCTTCACGAGTGAACTTATGCCCAAAAGGTCTTGAGAAGAGCTGATCAAGCCCTGGATTAGAGGCGTCTTTCTCTGCCTCTGAATGTTTGGGCCGACCCGAAGAAGTAAATCCAAGAGAATAGTACTCCCTGGGCACAGAGATGTCCCGGGTTTGCCATGCCAAGTTTCCCTTTGCGTATAACACATCAAATACGCCCAAGGCATTGAGCTAAGAGTACGTACTCAGCGAGTATCACTCAAGGTCGAAAAATCTCACCTGATTATCCCCTGGTCTGGGAATCGTGACTCACACCACTCAAGTGGCCGAATTGCGACTCCGAAACCCATGTACTTACTGGAGATTAACCACGATATTCTGTATCCAACAAGTACAAATTGTCCGTGTCCAGTGGGTGCAGGCTACCTGAGATAGGCTAGTGGTGCCCAGACCATAATGTGCATATGCGTGGTTTTGGAGACGCTTGCCAGCAGCTTTCTTAGCTTGGGTTGGCCCCTTCCAGCGAGTTTGTCTGCCAGCAAACATATGAGGCAATGGTTCCGCAAGGGGCTTGAAATCGAAGAGGGCGAAAAAGAGAGCAGTTAATCGTGTTTATCAAGCTGGAAGGTCAGGCAGGTGCGCATGTTTTGCGTCGAGTCTTCAGGGTATGTGATGCACGTCAGACCAGCAGTTGAAAGACCTCATGACTAGGTAGCTTCACCTTCCCTCACCTCTCCTCTGCCTCGGTAAGTGCGGTGGAGAAACAGAGGCTGGTGTCCTTCCTTGTCCGCTCGTGGTGTGGCGCATGCCGACGGTCGCCAAATCTGGATACAACTTGTGGCTGAACTGCATTGGCCCACTTTTCCTTGCGAAAGCTTCACCTCCTTGGCAATTGGCTAGTTTGGCGCGCTGCATCGAGGAGAACCTCTTTCTTTAGTCTACCTACGCGGCGTTGGTGTGAGGAAACTGTTTCGCTGTGACTGCCACCTTGTCTAGGTCACCTCCATTGCTGACCCATCCCCCCCTGGTTCCAAACGTACCCGGTCATCGCCATCAGCATGTCTGAGACGGATGAGTCCTGTCCCTTTTGCATTATCGCCTCGGCTCATGCTCCCTACCCACCCTCAGACCCTCCTTCTCCCTCGCCCTCAGTCCTGTCCCCTTCGCTCACATCCCCAGCTTCATTCGTCGTTCTATCCACCCCGACGCTGATATCCTTTCTGGACATCATGCCCCTCAGCTTTGGCCACCTGCTGGTCTGCCCTCGGCCTCACCGTCCCAAACTGACGGATGTCTCTCCCAGTGAGGCTAAGGAGCTGGGTGCTGCCGTCAGGATACTCTCCAAAGCCCTGATCCGAGCAACTGGCGTGGAGGACTGGAATGTCGTTCAAAACAATGGCGCCGCCGCCGCCCAAGTGGTGCCTCACACCCATTACCATCTGATCCCCCGCCCTGACATTCGGGCCAGGGGCAAGATCAGTGAGAGCTTTACCATGTTTGGCAAGGGCAGGCGAGAGGAGCTGGATGATGATGAGGCTGAGAAGCTGGCCCATTCGCTGAGGGTAGAGGTGGCCCGTGTCTTAGGAGAAGAAGAAGAAACAGCGGAAGGGCTCGGGCACAACGGAGAGCCGAGAACTGATTCTCAAGCAAAGTTATAATAGACCGCTTAGGTTCTTTATTGTCTCATCACAAGCGTCATGTTTTCTGCCTCTTTACACAATATTTAATTCCTAAAGCACAACACCATCTGGGAATCTGATCAATCATCGAGCCAGTTCCCTTCGTTGGTTATGAGTTCGGTTTACTCGGGGAGCAATCCTCCCTCATTCGTCATCACCAAAGAACACCTGAATAGGTAGCCATTTATCATCGCAAACCTTGAATCGATCATCAATGGAATCGATGTCCTTAATCTCCCCGTCTGTCAGTTCCCAGCCATCCAGCTCAAAATTCGCCTCAATGCGCCTCGGCGTCACACTCTTGGGAATTACACTCCAGCCCTTCTGAAGCCCCCACATAAGAAGGACCTGTTGTGCGGTCTTCCCCTTGTTGCTGGCGATCTTGAGCAACTTCTCGTTCGTGTAGAGAGGCGAGTCGGTCGATCCGAGGCACGAATAACCAGTGCAATGGATCCCCTTGGAGAGGCAGTGGGCGACTAGCTTTGGGGACGGGTTGCAAGGGTGTAGCTCGATCTGATTGACTGCAGGGACAACCTATCCAGACATCTCATATCAGCTTCGATATCTCCAAGCTACTTGGCCCGGGCCATTTCATAACGGGGGGTAGCCACGCACCTTGGTATCCGGGCTACTGAGCAACTGGTCAATATGGACGATGCCAAAGTTAGACACTCCAATGTTGCGCACTTTCCCAGTGCCAAGCAGCTTTTCCATCTCTCTCCAAGTGTCCTTGAAGTCCCAGTCGTCATAGTGCTTCGTCTTGTCCTCCGGGGTTGTCGAGCACGGCCAGTGCATGAGAAACAGATCCACATAGGCTGTCTGGAGATTCTCCAAGCTCGAGTCCAGCCCTTCGGCGACACGCTTGTGCCAGGGGTTGTTCAGCTTGGTCGTCACCCAGATATCGCTGCGCGGGATACCAGAGGCTCTGATGCCCTGGCCAACCTCTTTCTCGTTGCCATAAGCATGGGCAGTGTCAACGTGCCGGTAGCCACTGCGCAGTGCGGTCTCAACAGCGACGGCGACCTCGTTAGGTTTCGACTGCCAGGTACCAAGGCCCACGGCTGGGATCTTGTCACCTGTATTTAAGAGGAATCTACGACTGGAGACGGCACAATGGGGTGTCAGCGAAACCGGGATGCAATCAAAGATCTCCTCTCCGACGTGCCAGGGGGCTGCGGCGAGGGTTGTTGATGGAGTGCCTTACGTCGTTTGCGCGATTGTGGCAGCCATTGTGATAGACTTCTTTGTATGTCGTTTGGTCCCAAGAAACGAATTGCTGGTCCTTCTTATGTTCTGTTTTATTCAAGTGCACAGGTGGGTGATGATCTCATTGAGCAGAGTGGAATCAGCCCCTCTCGCGTTTATCGCCCAACTCCTGCCTAAACGACCTCTTTCCGCATCCCAGCTCATGCAGCTCTCTTTCCTTGCAACCGGCTGCATCCGGCCCAATTGAACCACAACATCACACAATGCCGCCCGCCGGCGATGACAGTACGACGGACTTGTTGCAGCTGCAACATCTTCCAACGATTGCCCACCAGTGGAGACACGAGACGTGACTTGGCTCAGTTTGGGAACAGTTGACAAAAGCTGCAAGCAACAAACGACAAGAATTCAGAGCAGAGATGTCCCAAAACCAAATTCAGAATATGTAATCATTCACTGGGGAAGCGATGCCAGACAACCAGGTCACGACATCGTGTCTAGGCGAATGGAGTAATACGGCATGCATATTTAGGGAGGTGAATCAGTGAATACAAGATGGGAAGTGGTCGGATATTCTCTGTCTAAGTGGAAGGTAAAGAAGCTATCCTCAAAAGATCACACGATGCCCAAGGAATTGCAGCGACGGGATACGGTCCAGCGTGGCCTCCTCTTTCACCTCTGCAAGGTCTGCATCACGGCATTGTGCATGCTCGCAGATTCGGACCAGCATCATGCCTCTTCATCACCACCAGCAGCGACAGCCTCGGGCTTCTCGTCATCAGCTGCCGCGGCCTTAGAGTCAAGCTTGACACCTTTAGCAGGCACTGGCTCGTCCTCATCTCCGTCTGCATCCTCTTCCTCTTCTTCCTCTACGTCTTCCTCTTCCTCATCCTCTTCTTCTTCGTCATCGTCGGCCGCGGCATTGCCATTGATCTCTTCCTTGGACGAGGCAACGGTCTTCTGCTTCTTTGTAGGAGGTTGATCGCCTGTGTTTACAGCAGAGGAGTGTTAGCGCATGCAAAACAAGTCATCGGATCGGTTGCGCTGATGCGCGAGGTTCGCAGGAGCACCGTATCACGGGTCGGGGAGTATGCGCGGTAGGAAGCTGGTCTTACCCTTCACGCCATTGGCATCGGACTTTTTGCCGCCATCATCCTCTTCGTCGTCTCCATCTTCCTCTTCATCGTCCTCTTCGTTCTCCTCGTCCTCTTCCTCGTCCTCTTCTGAGACTTCTTCCTCATCGGCGGTGGAGATGTACCTAGCTCGGGGCGTTAGCCTTGGCCAAGGAGAAAGGGCTAGACTTGCTGGACAGAGCACGGCAGGTCGCGGAGCGCAATCGGGCGCGAAGCTCACCACAAGCTTGCCCAGGTGCGCAACACCGTTCGAGGGGGTAAGTTGGCATTAGGGGGGGCACTTACTCTTCCTCCTCCTCGCCATCGTCTTCCTCAGGGAGGGAAACGAGATCCTCCTCGTCCACGCCTTGCTTTCTCTTGGACATATTGAATCTGAGTTTTAACGGAGGAGGCTTCAGGGTACGATGATGTAATTGGGCGAAAGATTGGTGACAAGAGGAATGGAAATTGTAAGGAGATGACCAAAAGACAAGTCGAGATAGATGGGGGATCGAGAGAGTGAAGAAGGGGCCAGGCTAGATGGGAGGAGAGAGAGTGGGAGAGGGAGCTCGGGGTCTAGAGGCAGGGTAGGTCGGGACGGACCATGGGGGGATGATGGGGACCTACGGATAGCTACGCAATAACAACCTACCTGTCTATGATGAGTAAAGCAAAGCATTGCCTCAGCTCAGCTAGAGGAAGGCGACCATCCACTTTGGGAGGGGGATCGCAGAGGTTGTTGGTACATGCATTTGGGAGGATATGTTTGCGGCGATAAGGTACCACACACGCCGGGACTACCTAGGAAGACGCTTGGGAGGGAGAAGGCTGGCTGGTTTGGGACAGGAGTACAGGAGTAAGCCGAGTCAAAGAGTGCCGGCGAGAGAGAAACAGCAGCGGGCGGTGGGAGGGAGGGAGAGAGAGCGCGACGCAAGACACAGAGACTGGAGAAGGCTAGGCGATCGAGGCGCGAAGAGGAGGAGGGGTGGCGGGAGGGGGTGTGGGAATGGAGGGCGGTCCCAGCAAAAGCAAGCAAGAGCAGAAGCAAGCTCATCACTCCTGAGCTTCTGTTGCTCCCTTGCAGCCTGACGACACACAGTGCACAGTATGAATTCCGGCTGCTTAAGTACCCCATAGCAAAGCAAGGTTTGGAGCTACCTGGCCATTGCCCAATCAGCTCCGGAACAGGAAGCAGTGGGGACCTAGCCCGGCCTCAGGCTTGGAGAAGGGAAGTGACTTGCAGGTGTCTGGGACGACGGGGGAGGGTAATGTACCTTGGTAGGTCTCAAGGTACTAGTGGCGAGTGCAGCACCTGGACTCGAGCTCGAGGGCGAGGGAGAGACAAGAGCCTAGTAGGCTTGCTCAGTTATTGAGGGGGCTGGGCTGGGCTGCCACCGTCAGCGAGAGGTAGGGCAAGTATCAAGCAAGTACCCTCCCGCCAAAGTCTAGAGCAAGGGTACATCGGCACGTTCCTGCCCAGGGGGACGTGAGCGGGGGGGCCCAAGCACGTTGCTCGGGTCTGCCTTTACGTGCAGCACGCAAGCTGCATCCCGTCAGATCAAATCAGGTCTGTGCACGGCGAGGAAGAGATGGAACCAATGTAGTGATGCAATCAGTCGCCTTCTGAAGTCGAGGTCGGGGCCTTGTGCGAACCTAGCTGCCTCCCTCCCTCCAGACAGCCATCTCCCTACACTGGGAGACTCGGATTACTAACATACATTACCTTACCTAGGTATACCATCGCTGTACGCGCCTACGGTGTTCCCTCCAGCGACCAGTGCACCCAGCGATTTCATCCCCTTTTTCTGTGGCTCCGCTCCAGATGGCACACCAGAATCAGCACCACCCTCATCTCTCAGCATCCGAGACCACTGACGCAGCCTAATATCGAGCTCCCCAGGTATAATCTAGCCCTGCATCTTAAATCCAGGCTTGAAGGGGTAGATTTGGATCTATTCCAGGATCAGATAGCCGTACATAGATGAGACTGAGGCCAAGGACCACTCACCTTCTCAAAGTCCCACACATCGTGCTGGTTGTAAGCATCCTTCTTCAGCCCCTCCAGCACCTCCTCCTCTGATGTGGCGCTCACGACAAGCGTGCTGCTCACAAAATCGAGGCTTGACACTTGGTCATCCTTGGGCACGCTGCGAAGTAGTGCCCCGCCCATCTTGTATTTGCCCGCCTCAATCCCGGGCTTCAGCTCCTCGAAATGGCGACTAATCACATTGCAACGTTAATTATCACATCGGACAGCTAGTGGCCACTCCGCTGTCGGCCGTGGTGCTGTGTGCTGCTTACCTTCTTGCCTCGAGTCGGCGGGCTCGAGCATCTGGCTTGTCAGGTATCACCACCAAAAAGTCATAGGTAGATGGTCTGCCTGCAATGGTGCGTCGAATTTCGAGGGTGGCCAGACGCCTTGGGGGACCACCCAAGGCGAGGCGTCGGACGGTCTGAAAGACGGACATGTAGGATGATGTTAGTAGCTTCGGAGGAAGAGAATGGTGATCGTCCAAGCTGGTGTCGGGTAGGTTGGAGCCAAAAAAGGACTGGAGGGCATCCCCAGCAAATCACTCACGCCCTATTGAACCCCCCTCAGTTTCAGGGCATTGCTTCCCTCCCCGCACTCTTCCCCGTTCTGCCGTGGCTAACGTATTTCCGATTGTTGATCGCGATGATGATGCTGGTGGCAGACCACACTTGTTTCCTATCCCAAGTACATTCGTAATTAAAGAGCACCGTATCATCCTAGCGTTTCATGACTCCAAAATGAGCACATCAAGTGCCCTGTTCTTGTGATGCCAGAGTCCATCCTCTTCCCCAATCCTACTCTCTATGATGCCAAACCAGCATCAGGGTTGAATTGGCCGCTCCCCGCGGGGTGACATTGCATTTCTGTACTTCCCATTCCAGCTTGAGGAGAAATCAGGCACAGTGACCATATGACTGGCTACCACGTGCATCCCGCTACACTCTCTCTCCCAGTCGTGGGTGCGAACAACGTCTTTCAACCATCGCTTGACCGGCTGGGGTTGGCTGCCAAAACTGTATGGCCTTTTGCCATCCAATGCGACATCGTGATATTCTCATGACCATACGTCGATCAGAGTGGGCATTGTATGCCGTTGCAACCTCTTCCGCCTGATCCCCCCACCGTGGCCGGTTGGAACATATCTGCAAAGACATAATATCCCAGAACCGCCTATCATGATGTCCCCAGACGACCAGGTCAGACTGACTGGCCATTCAAGTTGGAAACACAGTCTTTTCGCCATGGCTTTCCCGGGCCTTCTTCCCGATTGGAGCAACCTGCAAGTGCTCCATCGCAACACCCTCCCTCCTCGCGCCCACTTCTACTCGTACCCTTCCGAGCAGGCGGCCTTGTCGTTTGACAGAGACCAGGGGAATTTCCACAGTCTCAATGGAACGTGGAAGTTTCACTATGACCCTTCTCCCTTTGATGCGCCTGCTTGGGAGCTCGCCAACTTCACATCATGGGACGATATCCAGGTTCCAGGCATGTGGCAGACGCAGGGCTACGGTCACCCCCATTACACCAACTACGACTACCCATTCCCCGTGAACCCCCCGAATGTGTCTTATGTGAACCCTACTGGCTCTTACTGGCGCGAGTTTGATGTCCCAGAGGACTGGGCCGGCCAGCAGATCCGTCTACGTTACGAAGGCGTTGATAGTGCGTTCCACGTCTGGATTAATGGGGAAGAGGTTGGTTATAGCCAAGGAAGCCGGAACCCCAGCGAGTTCGACATCACTCCTTACCTGCTCTCTTCCGGGGAGAAGAATACCATTGCAACCAGGGTCTATCAATGGTCTGATGGCTCATACCTCGAGGACCAAGACCAATGGTGGCTCTCCGGCATCTTCAGGGACGTGTATCTGGTTCCCTTCCCTGAGTCTGCCGTTGTAGACCTTCAAGTCAACCCAGAGGTTGATAGTTCACTCACCAATGCTACGCTCAGAGTCAATGTCACCACCCAGGGCGATGCCGGCCCATTGCAGATCAAGCTGCTGGACCCGTCTGGGAACGCCATTCACCAATGGCAAGATGCATCGACTGCGCAGTATGCACATCCCATCCAGAGTGCACAGCTACAACTGTGGTCTGCCGAAACCCCAACCTTGTACACGCTGCTCATAACCTTTGGGGGCCAAACAATTAGCCAACGCGTTGGCTTCCGTCGCATCGAGCTCAAGGACTCCAACTTCTTGGTCAACGGAAAGGCAGTCATTCTCTACGGTGTGAACCGGCACGAGCATCATCACCTCTCGGGACGAGCCGTGCCATACCAGGCAATGCATACTGATTTGATCCGGATGAAGAGGTCAAACATCAATGCCATCCGGACTTCTCACCAGCCCCCGCACCCCGCTTTCTTTGATCTTGCCGATGAGCTTGGCTTTTACGTCATCTCGGAGGCAGACCTAGAATGCCACGGCTTTGGTGCGATCCCCAACTACAGTGCAGAGCAATGGACCTCGGACAACCCAGACTGGCAGGAAGCTTACCTGGACAGAGCCATCCAGCTTGTGTACCGCCTGAGAAATCACGCTTCCATCATCATCTGGTCGCTGGGCAATGAGTGCTTCTATGGGCAGAACCATGCTGCAATGTCCAAATGGATAAAGGAGTTTGACCTAACTCGTATTTTGCATTATGAGGCCGACTACTACGCAGCCGTCGTGGACGTCTATAGCTCCATGTACACTTGGCCCGATGAAATCTTGCGACGCCTCCAGACTATGACAGACAAACCACATATTCTATGCGAATTTGCCCAGTAAGCTAAACTTACACCAAGCCTGCCGGTTCTACGCCGAGGCGGTGCTAGAATCCATATAGGGAATCTGTGCTAACATAATGGATTGACAGTGCGATGGGGAACGGTCCTGGAGGTCTAGAAGAGTACATTGAGCTTTTCAGGACCCAACCGCATCTACAAGGTGGGCTGGTTTGGGAATTCAGTAATCATGGACTTCTCAAGAAAGAGGGCGACTTGGAGTATTATGCATATGGCGGCGACTTCGGCGACGAGCCGAACAATGCCGACTTCATCATGGACGGGCTTGTGCTTTCCGACCATACTCCCATGCCGTCATTACTTGAATACGCCAAGGTCATTCAGCCTGTTTCGGTGAAACTTACTGAAGATTTGTCGCAAATGACAATAATCAATCATTATGACTTTAATGATCTTGGCGGGCTCGAGGCGTCCTGGCATCTTGTTCAAGACGGGACCGTCACTGAGGCAAAGCCTTTGGATCTCCCTGACATTCTGGCCGGCACAAACAGTACCCTGAGCCTACCGCTCGACAGGAGCAGCCTCACGACGGAGGCATGGCTCGTAGTCGAGTTCAGGTTGAAGAAGGATACGCTTTGGGCAGAACAAGGGCACATTGTTGCCTGGGATCAGCTTCACATCCCCTCGCAGCAAGAGCAATTGTTGAAGGAGACAACAGCTCCCGATGCCCAAGTGCCTCTCGTTCCTCAACGCCCAATGAATATAATCCACTCAGGCACAAGGCTTCTCATAGAAAGCGGGGACTCGGTATTTGGCTTTGGCCTACTGCAAGGGAACGTGACGTGGACAGCCAGTGGCATTGATGTGTTCGAGCGAGGACCAGAACTAGCCTTTTACCGTGCCCTCACTCAAAACGACGTGGGCGGCTCTGGGGACAACAACGAATGGAACCGCGCGCGGGTTGGAGAGCTCCACACGCAGGTTCGTGATGTGACATGGCAGGATCAGGACGGGATAGTGAGGGTGAACTACAAAGTTCGGGTCGCTCCAAAGGTGATTGAGTGGGCTGTGGAGGCTGATCTCACTTACACAATCGACCCCAATAGATTCGGTCTGACACTCCGTGTCCGCGGCGAATTTGTAGGAAAGAATGCTCCGTCCGTGATCCCTCGTATTGGTGTCTTGGCCGTGCTGCCAGTAGCCTTTGATGAGGTTTCGTGGTTTGGTCGCGGCCCCGGGGAAAGCTACAAGGACTCGAAGCAGGCTTCTCGAATGGGACAGTACAGCTCTTCGGTGGACGACCTCTTCACTTACTATGACTACCCCCAGGAGAATGGCAATCGCGAAGACGTGCGCTGGCTCCAGGTTGGGGCTCCAGATAAGAACACAACCGTCCAGGTACAAATGAGAGACACGCCGTTTAGCTTCACCGCACGTCGTTACATGCCGCATGATCTCAACAACGCGCAGCACCCCCACGAATTGAAGCCACTCAACATGACCATCTTGCACCTAGATTATAACAACAACGGTCTGGGCTCAGCAAGTGTCGGGCCACCCCCATTTGACAAGTATCGGTGCTACGCGGAGCCGTTCGATTTCACATTGGATTTCACGAAGCTGTAACCGAACAGATGCTTGATTTACCTCACCTTCGTTTGAATTTGCCTTGGGAGCTTGTCGGAGCATTCTGACATCTTTCAGTGGTCTTTTTCGAGATATTCATTGGATACATAATCTTGTTTTGCAATACCTTGCATCCTCTCTGTAGCAGTTGATGATGAAAGCTGTGGCTCCCAGTGATGTATGGACGCTTAGTTGGGCATACGGACATTAATATACACCGGTGATCTTTTACACGTTTTTTTTTAAACCCCAGCCACGTCCAAGTTCTGTGGTCCTTTCAAGTCACCCGTGCCTCTTCCCAAACACACACAAAGACTGTTTGTTGCTTACCTACGCCGACTGGTGTCATTCGCGGGTGGATCAGGATCCGAACTCGAAGGGCTAAGCATGGCTATCACATGAGTGGGCTAGTCGGTTTTGATGTTCTCATTTTTACTACCCAAAGCAGAAGTCCGGGCGAGAGAGTCAACAAAAAGGCGGGACAACGCACCGTACGCCAAGACCATTGCCATTGAGTTCCAACGTGAAGAGTTCAACCAGACAAACAACTCAACACAATTATTATCTATGATAGTCAATTATACACTGATCGTCGCGGCTTCTGTTGTCAACCATAGAACACTAAGTTCATACAGGTTGTCAGTCAATCATTCTCTCGCGCGTGCCGCCTACATTCGGGCAGAATATATAGGGAACCATAGAGAATAACGTCCAGAATGGCGATGACACGGGGCCGAATGAAGCCAGCCAAGCCCCACGCTGCCCCAATCTCAGACCAGCAGCCGTCGAGGAGGAAAGGTGTGAAATCAGCTCCCGTTTTGCGAGTAACGGAAGTGACTAACATATGCGAGTTTACAGGGTGCTCCATGTGTACCAAACGTCGGATTCGATGTGATTTGTCCGCACCCTCCTGTAAGAAATGTATTAAAAAGGGCCTTGCTTGCCCGGGATATGATTCACGGATCAGATGGGTTGGTGGTGCTGCGATACGTGGCCATCTAAAAGGCCTCGGAGAATCTGGTCAAGTTGAGGACACTCAGCCACCACCGCCAACCAATGTCGAAATTGCCCGCATTAGGTCCCTCGGCGGATACTCCTTGGAGGATTTGGTGGAATACTACGATAAAAATGTAGCCAAGATCATGGTGTGGCTGGACGGCGACGACAATGTGTATCGACGCCATGTGCTGCCCCTGGCCCATACCAACCCTGTTGTGCGTCTCGCTGTCGCCGCCATTTCCGCCCAGCATGCAGCATTCTCACGAGGCGATCCCGACGTCCCGGAAGATGCACGGAATGAAGCTGTGGCCATGATCTCTCGGTATATCCATGATGTTACCTGCCAAATAGCCACCGGGGGTAGTAGACTCGTGAAAGAGAGTCTTGGCGAGGATGCTGCAGACTGGATCTTGGCGTCAATGCTCGTTCTTTCGTGTTATGAAATGTTCCATTCCGGTGCAGCAGCAGCCGAGTTCCATCGTACTGCAGCGAAGTCCTTCGTCAATACCTTGTCAACCACAGAATGGCGCCAAAGCACGTTGTTCCTGTCACTTAGAAATAAGCTGTCCACGTATGATGTCTTTGCATGCACAACATCATTTGATATATCAAGCATTCGCAATGCAGTGCTCCCGGACCTTGAAAGCGCAAGGATACTCCGAAATGAGACGGTTCTCTTCTTGGAATACCTGGTGTTGTTGCATGAGGTGACTCTGATATCTCGTCAGCCGACACCTCTCCCTCCTCCTCCGAAACAGCAGCGCATTCGAGACTGGAAAGAAGAATTTGAATTAGCCAAAGGCGCTACTTTGATGGCTGCTGGTAGGCTAAATATTTACAATGCCTCTCAGACGCGTGACCTCATCCGGCTGGTTGACATTCATCATCACGCTGGCCTGCTTTATGTGGCGGCATGTTTTGGTCAAAGCCTCGATTACGATGAGATGTCCAAGACAGCCTTTCGGGACTTGACAGCCCAGATAATAGCCCTAGAGAACATCAATCAATGCATCCACAACCTGCCCTGGCCTCTCTTTATTTTAGGTGTGGAGAGCCATGGCCATCCGGAGAACCGGAAGCTCGTCTCCAAGTTGTACAGGACAATGCCGGAAATTACGGGCTGCAAGCAATACTATGACGTCCTGGAGTTTCTGCATGAGTTCTGGTCGGGAAGCGATATTGAATGGCAACCATTGGCTCGAAGGCGGGAATTGCGTGGAAACCGGATTCTTGCGTTTTAACTACCTATAACGGAAGACAAGCTACACCCTGACTTCGGTCCATCTCACATTCAATACTTTTCCGGGGTTGGCATGTGGAAAGAGTGTACCTCGATGCAGCACAGGCAGTCAGCATTGCCTCGCCTAATTAGATGTGACGGTCCACTCTCTGTAGTTAGTTTCTCTCTCCTACTACCTAATTTGGTACTCGGGAAGAGAAAATAGATTTCGTCCCAATCTGGGCAGCGTGGAAGGAGCTTCAAGACATCTCTCTTGTGGATATATAACTAAAGAACGAATAAATAAATTGTGGTAAATCCCTAGTCGACTGATTTTTATCATATTCACTGAGTCACTTCTCCATCATCGTCAGTTTCTGTTACTCATCATGGCCGTGTCCGTTAGCAAGACAGCCATTACCAGGGTCAATGCATCGGATCCGTCCACTTCTTCCAAGACACTGATCGACATTCTCAAACGAGACGGCGGCGTCATTGTCGAGAACTTGATTGCGCGCGAGTTGGCAGATCAGATTAGAAAAGATCTGAGACCACACTTTGACAGCGACATACCCGATAAGTATGGCTTCTTTCCCAAAACTACGAGAAGAGCGACAGGACTTCTGGGTGTATCAGATGCGTGTGTCGAGCTGGCATGCAACAAGCTCTACACTGATGTTGCCAACGAGATGGTTTCATCCAGTCACACCATGTGGAGGGGCGACCACCAAGAGACTGTGAGTGGCAAGCCCATCATCTCCTCTACAGTGGGCTTCCGTGTAAACCCTGGAGGCAAACAACAGGTCCTTCATCGAGATGATAAGTATGACATGGCCTCGCAGTCCCCCCCGGATGTGTGTTTCCTCGAAACAGCTATTGCTAACTTCATGGAAAAGCGACTATCATCCTCAAGACAAGGAGCTCCCAGTGATGATTGGGTGTGTCACAGCCCTGACAAAAACGACAAAAGAAAACGGCGCTACGATTGCCATTCCAGGATCTCACCTCTGGGGCCCCGAGCGCCGGCCACTGGACAAGGAGGCTGTCCCGGCCGAGCTCGAAATTGGCGACGCTCTCATTTTTCTGGGAAATCTATATCATGCTGGAGGGGCTAACATTACGAGGTAGGTAGACTTGTTTATCTTTGTCTACACAGTTTCGTTCGTACACATTACTTCATGCTGATCGGTGATCCAGGGACGAGTACCGGGAGACAGTAGGAATATTTCTTTGCAAGCCCACACTGAGGCCCGCTGAGAATTTCTTTCTAGAGATTCCTCTGGAGAGGGTGAGGCAGATGAGGCCGCAGGCCCAGCGGCTTCTGGGCTACAGCGTCCTCGAACCTGGCGTTGGGTTCATGAATTACCAAGACCCGATGAGAGTCCTCTTTGGAGTCGAGGATGAGGAAACATTAAATATGTAATACATATCGCTATCTCTTGAAATACCTCGATAACGGAAGAATACGAGCATCGGAGAGATATTGAGCTGGTAGGCTTGCTGGTACATTATTCTTGTCAGTTGCTGTGAACAAGGGCCGTGACTAATAACCGCGCGCGTTAGTTTTCTCGTCTTACTCTTGGATCGCACCTCATCAAAGCTTATCTCACCCACCGCCTCATTGATGCATCGAGTATCTGGAGCTTGTTCCATGACTAATTACCGCGCGCGCATCTGCTTGCCCATCTCTGCCTATGTTCCATCTTCAACTAGATGTGACTAATTGCCGCGCGCGGACTGAAACCGTCACCTGCTGTGCATGTATGTATAGGTACGCGCTCGTGAGGTCATGTAGCCGTCTTCATTGCTAGTGGCCAGACCGTCTCCCGAGTTAAGTCGAACTTCTCATGTCATTTCATTGCTCCATCATGAGCACAAACATGCAACGTAGTCTCTTACTGATTTATAAGCTCAAGGACTTTTGAGTAGGATAGTACAAGCATCAATAAGAGAGAATCTTATCGAGTAGATCATCTACGATCTATAAAACCCTATAGATCACCATGCCACCTGGATCTGTTGAAACTTTCCATCATCAGCTTATATTCCACATATCATCCCAATTGACTCTAAAGTCTTTCATAATCCCTGAACAAAATGCCCGTTAACAAGGCCGCCTGGATCGATGCCAAGGGAACCAACCTTCGAGTTGGTGACGCTCCGATGCCATCTCCAGGATCAGGAGAAATCGTCATCAGAAGCCGATCAGTTGCAATTAACCCATTAGACTGGCACATGCAGGACTGGGGCGTTTTCATTAAGGAGTGGCCATCAATTCTGGGTTGTGATGTGGCTGGGGAAGTGTACCAAGTTGGTGCTGAAGTATCTAGGTTCAAACCTGGTGATCGTGTAACTGCGTAAGTTGAGCTGGAAAGTTCATCACGATAGTGGCTGGCTGAACTTGATTACTGACTTGGAACTATTCCACGGCAATAGTCACACGATCAATCTTGTCACTGGAAAGCCTCAGGATGCCGCATTTGCCTATTACTGTGTTGCTCCCGCTGCTAAGGCATCAATCCTGCCCGATTCCATCTCTTTCGAATCTGGTGCTGTCTTGCCTCTCGCACTCGAGGCAGGTATCTGCGCTCTAATGCTAAAAGCTCCAGGGGAGGCAATGCCTGGAGTGTCGACACCAGCGCTTGGCCTTCCTAATCCCAAACTGACTCCAACTCGCCTTGGGAAGTCAATCATCGTGTACGGTGGTTCCTCCTCCGCTGGGAGCATGGCTACGCAGCTGGCTGTGGCAAGCGGACTCGACGTAGTTGCAATTTCCAGCCCGCAGAACTTTGAGCTGTGTCGAACCTCTGGCGCTTCTGCCGTGTTCGATTACCGGGACCCCAAGCTTGTTGAGAAGGTAGTTGAGGCTGCTACAGTACTCAGCCCTCCCGTTGGCATATTTGATGCTATCTCAACTCCGGATACCTACGTTCACGATCTGGAGATTCTCTCCAGGCTTGGAGGCGGTCACCTCGCCTGCACTCACCCTCCGCCGACGGAAAATGTCGCGGAAAATGTCAATGCAGGCATGATATTTGCCGTCAATGACATAGCTCAGCCAGTCTGGGAGGAATATGTCACGCCTGCGCTGGAAGGCGGACAGTTGAAGTGCTTGCCTCAGCCAGAGGTTATTGGCCATGGCCTTGAGTTCATACAGGAGGGGTTGAACCGTAGTAAAGCTGGGGTTAGTGGAAGAAAACTCGTTATCACGCTCTAATCTCTGGATCATACCGTTCTTGTTTGAATGGGAATTGAGGGAGATTCCATAACTGTTTACTCATTCCATTTCTTCCTTTCTTGAATCTGAAATATTTGTGGCAAGGTGCTGGAGGAACCTCAATATCTCTCAGCTCACCAGATATCAGTACATATCAATCACTTATGGACCGGGTTTTGATAGTCTCAAGTGAATATATATGCACTATCGACCGAAGCACTTTGCAAGAATTCTTCGTCAGTAATCTTAGCTTACCATCTTCTACGTCAGCAACCTGCCATGATGGATGGACCGTGTCTGAAACTATGCCCAGTGGTCGCCTGTCGCACTTTCGCACTGATAACAGAGCAGTTTCGGCTTACCCAACTTGTCCACCTCCCGGGATCGACTGGCCGACCCTCTTTTGCTTATCATCACAGCCATTTATTTATTCATTCATGCATGCTGGTGGTTGGTTGTGGAGTGAACGAGCGTCAATCTACGGAACCCGTGGGTCCACGATTGCGCTTTCATTCGCCCAGGCAATGATACTAGACAGGCCGTTATCCATTTAACCCTCCATCGTTGCATAAAGATTGATTTGTTTAGCCATGTGGGTTAATGGTCCGTGCCATGACATCACTTGCGGATGGTGAAATAAGGAGGTGTGAAGGAGTGATCAAAAACAGTCTCTACCGCCTTTCCTCGTTTGCTCTTCGCTCTTCAACGCCCTCTCCTTTCACGAACCAAGCCAAGCCAGTGAAGGCAAACACCATAGAATGGACACCGACGATCCTAGTCAGCCGCTTCTGTCCCAACAACGTCGCCGCGCCAGCACTTTCCGATTGCCGGCGTGGTCGATCGGAGCCCCCCTCGTCAAGACAGCATCTGTCAGCGAAGTCCATCCGCACCATGACGAGGTCGAGCCTGTCCTGCCCGCGGCTCCCGTTGCTGCAACTCATGAGACTCGCCTGCACAAGCCCAATTGGGCCCTGAGCGATGAGCCACCAAATGCTTGGGCCCAATTCCGCCATGCTTGGCGTGAGGAATTTGCGTGCGTGGCCAATTCTCCTCGATCCGTACCAGGACTAACGAGTCGACAGAGAATTCTGGGGCACATTTTTGATCCTGCTTTTTGGAGCCGGTGTTGAGTGCCAGGTGCGGCTGAACTACCACTCATCCGACATTCGAGGCAATGCCGGTGACTTTCTGCAATGCCGTCTTGCTTGGGCCGCTGGAGTAGCCCTTGCTGTCTGGATGGCCGGCGGTGTATCTGGAGGGCATTGCAATCCAACAGTTACTCTTGCCCTCGCCCTTTTCCGTGGCTTTCCCATACGCAAGGTGCCCAGTTTCATCATCGCCCAAGTTGCTGGCGCAACCGCCGGCAGTCTCGCCATTTACTTCAACTACGTAACAAGCATCTCCGCGTATGAAGGCGGCTCTGACGTCCGCACCATCACCGGCCCGCATGCCACAGCTGGTTTATTCTTCACTCTCCCTGCACCGCATTTGCCATACCTTGGGGCCTTCTATACCGAAGTCCTGGCATCAGCAACCTTAGTGGCCGTTGTTTTTGCTCTTGCCGACAAGAGCAACCTTGCACCACCCAAAGGGACACAGCCATTTGCCATGTTCCTGACACTCCTCGCCATAGGCTCGGCACTGGGGATCAATACCGGCTACGCCATGAACGGGGCACGAGACACAGGGCCCCGTATTGCCTTGGCCATCGTTGGATATGGACCTGGGGTATTCACACACCATCACCTGTACTGGCTTTGGGCCCCATGGGCCGGCGCCATTGTGGGCGGACTCATAGGTGCATGCATTTATGACGGTTTCTTGTACACTGGGAGAGACTCGCCGTTTAACGTGCCCAAGATATCTGACTGAGCATACCACCTGGGCCCGCGGGCACCGATTGCACGATTTCCGAAGCATACGATTGCCTTTACAACTCATTCGCGAGATAGAATATGATAGACATTAGAGCATTTATGGCAAGAACATCAAACGAGTCGCTACATGTATATGGCTGTGCCTGACAGGATAATGTAAATAACGCAGGTACTGCCAAGCCAGGAACTGCATGACTCAGAGAGAGCCCATGGCTATATCCACCATCACAAACCAAAAAAACAATTGTCAGGATAGCATAGTATATGAGGTGCAATTTTTTTACTGTATTGATTTCGTAGAAAGGCGTTGAGAAAGCAGGTTGGAAAAATTCCCCATATCATGATGTTGTAGAAGATGGTCGAATTGGATAACCACACAATGCATGACAAACAATCTGTTCACAGCAGAAAAGGAATAGACACAGCTATTGATTGTCCTTGAGTGATTGAGGCATGGAAGCTGCTGCATCGAATCTCAAATTGCACCAGAAGCCTATAGGACGTCTTCGCACCTAGGTACATCCAAAATAGAACGATCCTTACCCCTGGATGATACTTTACACCAAGCATCCCACCGGATATAGTGATGGCCGATTGCGGAGAGAACTTATGAAGGTATAGATGTTTGTTATTATTCTTTACCTCTTGCAGTGCATCACATATGCTTATGTTAGTCGCCGAGGGATGAAGCTTACCGCCGGGTTATCCCCAGGCTGATCATCTGTGCATATGCAAGCTCCCGAGGTCGCAATTGAGTCATTACCGTTCCCATGTTTTGTGTCAATAGAAGCACGTATAAGGACCATTCCTCGACCAATATTGAGGTTGCAATACCGCCGATGTGTCACGTTATACCAGTTATCGAGTAGTCCCCATCGCGTCTTACAAAATGCTTCACCGTGGCGCCACACACGCCGGGCTTCTAGACTTCGGGCTCTGAGTTCCAACCAGCTACGTTACGCCCACAGCCTGGCTCCCTGTCAGAAAACCTATGGATCCAATCCCGGAACGTCCCCAGGAGCTTCGTACGTTTTCATTCTCAATGCAGCGAAGCATGCCATCACCAGCTGTCTCCATTGTTGCCGTGCCCCTTTTGAGAGCATTACCAAAGTTGCGAATATATCTAACTTCTACATGTTGAATAGCATTGACACGAAAGGAACCGTGGGTTTAGCTACCTCTGGCGCACGAAAGACATCGTGGGAAATAGCGCGCGCCAAGAGAGAGAGCGAGTATGACGATTCGTAAGGCAACCCAAACTCCTCGAGCCAGTGGACAGCGTTGACAAAGTGCAACAGACTCATTGGGTTAAAGGGGGGACAAATATTCCACGAAATGATGAAACGACATGGCGTGAAACATATATGTGAGTCGGATCCCCTACCACGTCACCACCCCCAGCTGACCCAGGATAGTTGGATACCCTGTGGGTGCCATTCTTCCGGTTTTTGATGCCAGATACGAGTCAAGCCACTTTGATTTCATTCTCCCCAAACACGAACAAGGTGCTGGGCATATGGCACAAGGATATGCGCGGGCTACCGGAAAACCAGGCGTCGTACTTGTCACATCTGGTCCTGGGGTGACGAACATGGTAACACCCATGCAGGACGCTCTATCCGACTGCACTCCGATCGTAGTCTTCTGCGGGCAAGTTCCTACAAGGGTTATTGGCACTGATGCGTTCCAGGAGTCTGATGCCGTGGGGATCTGTGGGGCTTGTTCGAAATGGGCTGTGACGGTCAATGAAATTGACGAGCTTCCCCAGCGCATCACGGTCGATGTTGTCGGGTAGGTCCGGCCCCGTTCTAGTCTCCTTACCAAGTGATATTATGGTAAGTATGCTCCAAAGACCTGTCTCTACGAGATCCATGCTACCATCCCGTCGTCACATCCAATCTCATGCTAGAGTAGCCGACAATCAGAGCAAAGAACTCGAAAGGACTCTCAACCGAGTAGCAAGGCTAGTCAATCAAGCTCGTAAGCCTGTTATATATACTGGACAAGGAACCATTCTGTCGGAAAACGGCCCAGAGTTACTGAAGGAACTAGCAAATAAGTGCTCTATCCCTGTGACAACATCGCTTCAGGGGCTCGGCGCTTTCGATGAGCTCGACGACAAAGCCCTTCATATGCTCGGGCTACACGGAACCGCCTACGCCAACATGGCGGTCCAAAAGGCTGATCTGATTTTGGCCCTTGGTGCTCGTTTTGACGACCGCGTCACCATGAACGTATCGAAGTTTGCCCCGGCTGCGTTCACTGCCGAGAAAGAAGGACGAGGCGGTATCGTGCACTTTGAGATACTACCAAAGAATATAAATAAGGTGGTTAACGCTACTGAGGCTGTCGAAGGGGATGTGTCAACTAATCTAAGACTCCTACTGCCCCTGCTTCGAGCAGTTGATCCCCTCGACGAATCACGTAAAGACTGGCTATCTGCTATTCAAGAATGGAAGAGTACCTGGCCAATATCGGACTTCGATCGGACCAGCCGACCCGGATTGATCAAACCGCAGGTTGTCGTCGAACGGCTGAGTCACCTAGTCGAGAAACGAAGGGGAGACGTATTTATCACAACCGGTGTTGGACAACATCAAATGTGGGCTGCCCAACATTTTAGGTGAAGGAAACCGCGCTCAATGATCACCTCAGGCGGATTGGGTACGATGGGATTTGGCTTACCAGCGGCTATCGGTGCCAAGGTTGCACATCCAAGCGCACTGGTAATTGACATTGATGGTGATGCGTCATTCAGCATGACCTTAACCGAGTTATCAACAGCGGCTCAATTCAATGTCGGCGTGAAGATCCTACTGCTAAACAACGATGAGCAGGGCATGGTCACACAGCTTCAGAATGCCTACTACGAGGATCGCTATGCACATGCGCATCATGAGAATCCCGACTTTGTGAAAGTAGCTGAGTCCATGCATGTGGAAGCTCGCCGTGTCTCTGATCCTCGAGAATTAGATGAGAGTCTCACCTGGCTCTTAAAAACGCGAGGCCCAGCTCTTCTTGAGGAAGTGACAGATAGGAAAGTTCCTGTGCTGCCGACCGTTCCATCGGGACGCGGACTAGACGAATTTACACCATACAGCCAAGGTAAATAATTGACACAACAATTCCTCGGATGTGGAACTGATTTGCTGATTTAACACAGAAAAGGAGAATCAAAGGCGGTTACTCATTCGGCGGCGAACACAAGGTCTTCATGGTTGAAAGGAGGAAACATTTAGGATTCCCTCTACCTAGCCACATGTTGCGCCAGAATTATGATACAAAAATGGAGAACACCATACACCCTCGCAGCTTTATCTACCATGTAGCTTTTCTTATTGACCCAAAAAAAGATCCCATAATCAAGATTGATGTGCACAAGCTAGCGTAACTATGTATATCGCCTCCCATGGCCATTCTATCGAACAAAATTGTAACAAATGGATCTAGGTTACAGCTACGCTCGATTCACTGAGGCTTGACTTGAGCCAATTCACCGGAATTACATGGTGTTAGGATTATCTTGATAATCTCCTACTCTAAATGTTAATGTTACAACCGCGGTAAAGGGCAACTGCTCAGGATACTCGAAGCCAAAAAGTATTTTTGGCTACCGATGGAAACGCATCTGAAAATAGAGGTTGTATCACTGCCTGTCCGAGGCGAGATAAACACTAATCAGTCTGAGATTTTCAGTCCAGTACCCCTTTCCAGAAGCAAGTTGTTACCCAGCTTGCCATCATTGATACTCATCAAGATCGGGATATGACTCGCAGTAGCCCCACATGTTCGTGGAAATCTCCACAGCTATACGAGGTGAAAAGGATTGTTCCTGGAAGCAACCATGAAGGAGCATCAGTTGAGGCTGAACTCTGAGACGAAACAACCATATTCTACTTACAGAATACCGAGTGAGCCGTCACGATGGTTGATAACCTGGCTATGATATGAAACAATTGCCGTTAGCTGACAGGGAACTGAAAGCTGTGACCCGGTAACTGCTATCCACATGGGTCTACGTCAATGGGCATATCGCATGAAACTTTTTTTCGTCCATATGTGGAATAAATATACGCTATTCAGTGCCGTGCATCCGGCAAACCTTCTGCCACATGGAACCAGACTCTTTAAGAGAGATGTTCATTCGCTCGTTACAGATCTGCATCAGTTTCCTGTAATTTAAAAAGGGCAAACCTGTTACAAGATGCCGGCATTGTGGATCTCTATCCCAGAAAGGGAACGGTTTTCCCCCTCCGAGATCCAGTTTGGAACAGCACGGAACAAACCCCGAATGATGCCTGCAACAAAAAATCGGGCTGGGAACTAGGTTCTAGACCACATGTATCTGGGAGGACTGTGTACTAGCCCATATGGCTGGGATTGCGATGACATCTACCTGCTTCTAGCTTCAAAGCTTTTAGGTGGGCGGTTACAGGTTCATAGTTTCAGGTTTTGACACGAATATATAGATACACCGGCGCCCTCGTCTTCGATTGCTTCTCATTCTCGCTCATTCTACATTAGTTTATACTACAAGTTACAGTGTATTCACAAAGTAACACCATCTTCGTTCCAAGAAACCCCGATAATCATAGCCATGAAGTTTCTCTCGTCCTTAGCAGTTTCCGGGGCCGTGCTCTTTGGCACTTCCCAAGGTCTGCCCCATTTCGGCCCAGAACTTGCTCCCCGAGACAGTTGGGGCGGTGCCGTGTCGCTCGGTCCTACAACCTCCACGATCAAGAAGGCCGTTACCACAATCATTCCGGGAACCGCACCCTCCACCCAAAATGGTGTCCTCTTCCTCTGGCCGGGCATGTCAAACGGCACCGGAGACCTGATCCAGACCACTCTCGAGTCCTGGGCTGATAATTCCTGGTGCGGAGCTAAGACCGGCCAGTGGTGCGTCCGTGCCTCCATCTTCGGCTCGTTCGGGCAGCTTGATGGCTCAGCCAGTGCCGTGAGCGGCGACCAGAAAGTCAAGATTGTGTACACGCTTCTTGAAGACAATGATACCTGGAGACAGGACGTCACTGATGCCGACACGGGTGCTCAACTCAGTTCCTATGAGTACAAATCCGGCCCTTATATGCGAGGTTATGGCACTGGCACTGAGTGCAACAACGGGTGCACCCCGACGATTGCCGATCAGCGTTATATCAATACCGAAATCACACTTGCAGGGCCTGACAAGAGCTTTGGAAAAACCATTGCGACTTCGCAAGGAGCCACTTATTCTGGTCTCTCCAGCAATAGTGATGGGTCTGTATGGACAATTGCGGAGATTCATGTTCCAAAGATGTCCTAAGATCCCGGGCTCCATCGTTGGATATTTCTACGAAAAACTAGGCTTAACATGCTGGACAAGTTAATGGGTACCTATCTCAAATGTATATTTTCAAGCACCACTATTTTCATAGAACATTGATCATCTATAACTCCGCCTTTCCCAAAATAGAGTTGAATTTCAGGGATAATGATATGAATGAATCTTCAGGAATGACCAGCCAATGGAAGCCGAAAGCTCTTTCCACAATGTGCAGCATTTGATATAGGATGTTTAGTTCCAGGTTAACATCTAGATGTTGAGGGGATCCGGATTTTGACCCGATTCATTCTCCCTGGACAACAAATTGAGAAGCGTCGATGGCAGTTACTTTAGCAGGCTCAGCAATAGTCCCATTGACCGGAGAGACCATTCCAATGTTCGTTGTGACATATGAAACGTTGTCGTCGCTCTTGCCCCTCCCCCACGTCGATGCGATGCAGCCTAAAAGAAGGAGTGAGCCAATTCCACCAGTGACGGATTGATATGTGTTGAATTCGTTGTGAGAGTCGGTCCCTCGAACTAAAATGAGGGCGTCGTTGTCCAAATTTCACATACTCCAAATGTTCCCTGCCTGATTAGAGACGAAGTTGTTTGTACTTTAAATTTTAGCGATTATAGTAATGGTTAAGACTGTGTCGCTCTTGAGCGGATCTCCATTTCTGTCGATAGCAGTTTGTTCATCGCCGAACGCTCACAAACCGACCGGGAGACATGACCACTGTAAGTCTTAACGCCATTGACTCCGATTAGAAATGTGGCATTCGAGCGAGTACGCAGCTCAGGAGCATCGAGAACCACCTCATTGTGGCAGTCACGAAGTGCACCCGAACAAGCTGGCCATTGTAGGAGTAAGGAACAAGGACAGCCATCTCCTCTTGCTTTCCACTGCCAGAAGTACCACAATCCGGGACAGAAGTCACGCCGTTCATCATACCAATGTTTGGTAAATCAGTCACCCTGCGAACCTTGATCTCTCTACTGTTCTTTCTGGCGAATTTCACCTCCCACATGGCCCCAGTGCCTAGTATTGGTGTAATACACTTTTCAAAGTCATGTATAGCAAAAAGAAAGTTATCCTCGTTTGTCTCAGTGATACCGAGGAGGCCAGTAGCGCCCGAAGAAATGATGAATTGGGGTAAATGTTGCATGTCTCGAGTTAGGACTTTCCATTAGGATAATGTTGAATTGTCCTCCAGCGTAGTAACGAGGAGATCCCCGTATTGACTTGCAGTAAGACATTGCAGAAACGTATTGTTGTGTCCCAAGCTAACAATCGTAGCTGGAAGCTAGATTGGGTTGAGAATTTGGAGCACGGACTTGCTAGTAACATGATGAACAATATTGAAGTATGTTTGGTAACTATGGTGGATGTTACAGACACTTTTGATAATATTTAGTACCATCTTCCGAGCTTTGGTATTACTGTAGAAGAAAAGCGTACCAATTGAAGGTGGGTTGTCCAAATACGTTCTATCCCTTGGGGATGGCTGTTTCAATTAGCAGCCAAGGATCTCATGTTGTATTACAACCATCGGAAGGCCTATACCTGCATAATAATCATTTTCGATGTATTAATATATTTTTGGTTGGGGTGCTTTTGCCTCTTACATATTCTGTAGCCTTTAAGCATCTTACCGAATCAAACGCGAAAGGCCTTGACTCCAGCGCTCTGAAGGCCTTCGAATAACGTCGTTTATCGAGTTTCTGTTAACTTAGCAGCAAAGAACGACTTGGCGACTCGTGCGAATGTTACAGAGCCAAGTGCGAAGGTGGTCGATGTAAGAAGGGCTGTGAATTTCATGTTGATGAATGCACCATTTCATGCTACTCGAAGCCGGCATAGATGAGATTCTATTATCCAGAGTATAGCAAGTTATTTCTTAAGCCTGTAACTACGCCATTGGGCTGTTACCAGCCCTTTACTGTCATCTCACACATTCATGTTAGCCGCAGTATATCCAATCGAACCACAGTTTCATGTTGCATCTGCACTGAGGGGTCTTTCGTGTAATATACCTTTCATTTGCTCTCTCTAGGGTCTAAGGCAACACATGAAACTAGATGAAGGGGAGGGATAAAGTCTGAATTGCCTTGGTGGGCCCATTTTCAAATCTTCTGCCTGGCATCGTCCCTTGTTACTCATATGCGCAGATATCCGGAACGTAACTCTAAGGTTCAAAGCCAAACTTCGGCTGTCAAAAGAAATGTACCAAAGTGTCCCATGGAACCACAGTATGATGTAACCCTTTGCAACTAGAGGCACAGAGGTCTATGACAGGCCACAGATATATCTAAGCTTGCTATAGAGAGAATCTATCAGTCACGCAGAAAAGGCTCGACTCGACGTAGATGAAAAAATACTAGGTTAAGAATAGTCTTATCGATTCCAGATAAGATCTCAATATCACCCAGCCAAAAGGCTAACGAAACTAGTTCATACTATTCTTTAGCTAGTTTAATTAGCGTTGACAGCAAACGCATACCGAGCTGAGCTGAGGTGGAGAATCCATTCGCGTGTATATATTTGTGGTAGACACACTACCCCTGAATTCTTGCTTCCAACCTCTCAAACGTCCAACCCAATGTGACAAAGCTGGCACCGCCACACCCAACTCATCAATCACGATATGAAGGCTGCCACGGCCTATCTAGTCGGTTTTGCTATGCTCGACACTGGGACAAGTCAAGCAACCGGCATGCTTTGCGGTCTCAGGAAATTCTGTGCCGCCGATGCCCGATGTGTCCCTCTTGGCCCAAACTGCAAAAATCTCGACTTATGCCCCGGCCGCTGCTGGTTTAAAAATGATTACCCTTTATGCGGGCCCCATATCGGAGGTTGTCCGCGGGGATTTGGATGCGGTGATGATCCGCGAAGGCGCAAGAAGGCCCAGAAAAACCTGAACAACGCTGGAATATGTATTCCAAATGATCATTCTGCCTACCCAGTTTGTGGTGGAACTGCCGGCACTTCATGCCCCGAGGGGAAATATTGTTACGATAACCCATGGGACTCATGCCACCCCTCGGGGGGGAGTACAAAATGTATAGGCATCTGTATTTGAACGGGATTTACTTACTTAAAATTTATAATCCTGAAGGTATAATAAGGCTGACTTAACCCAGTAGTTAGTATACTATAGAAAGTATTAGGTTTTATATAGTAGATAGATAGAATTATATAATTATATTTATTAAAAACTATATAGCTCTAATACTTCTAGAGAGAATAATTATTTAAATTACTATATATATTTTTTTTTCTTTAAATTTAATTTTTTTTAATTAAAAAAAGAAAATTTTTTTTTTATTAGTTTTATTATAAATAAGAATATATTCTAAGATTAGATAATATATAATTAGATTATATAATTTTTTTTAAAATTTAATTAATAATTTATATTTAAACTTTTAATTTTATAAAATAAAATTAGATATTATATTTTTAATTTAGATATAAATATTAATATTTTAAAATTTTTAATAATAAGAGCTATTTATATAGCTAGATATATAAATAGTTTAGTTATAATTATAACTTCTTATAATAGTTAGATAACTTATATATAATAGTTAGATAACTTATACTAGATAGAATCTAAAGTAGATCAGGATTAAACTAATTAGAATATTATTCTAAGTAGTATAATTAGATTATTATAAGCTATATAATATAAATTACTATTAATATATAAGTATTATAAAGCTAGTAATAATAGATATATAGATAATTATAGTATTACTATTTTATTAATAATTATTTAAAAGAGTATTCTATTTAGTAAAATAAATATATATATATATTAAGGGATTATTAATACTTAATAATAATTTAATTATTATAAAATTCTAATAATCTATTAGTAATTAGTTAGAAAAAATAAAAATAATCTATATAACTTTAATATATAATAATATAATTTATAATATAAAGTTCTCTTTTTATTAGTTATATTCTTAAAATTATATTCTATAGCTTATTAATAAATCTTTTCTAATTTAATTCTATATTTTTTTTATAATTTATAATAATATCTAACTATATATAGAAAATATCTTATAAAAAAACCCTTTAATATAATACTCTTATTAATACTATTTTATTAAATTCTTTAATAATATAATTAGAATATAATTATTATAAATTCTATAATTATAAATACTTTAGATTAAAAGATTTTTTATTCTATTATTTCTATTATATTAAAAATAATTAATTATATTATAATATTTAAGATTTTATATTAAAATAATTAAAATATTTTTTTATTTTTTTTTAGAGGTTTTTACTATATATAAAAAATATTCTAAAATTAGATTATATATAATTAGCTCTATATAATTTATTTTTAATTAAGTTTTAATCTATATTTACTTTTTAATTTTATTTTTTTTATTTTTTTATTTATATAAATTAAAATAAAATAATAATTTCTCTAAAAACTCTAAAAAAAGCTTATTAAATATATAATTTAATTATAAGCTTTAAAAGAAAATATATATTATTTATAATTAATTATAATATCTTTTTAAACTTATTATTATTATTATTAATTATCTCTTTTTATAATAATAATAAATATCTCTAATATTATTACTCTCTATAGTTAAAATTTAATTATTATAAGTAATTAGATTTTTATATATATAATAGTTATTATTAATAAGAATTATTAAAATCTCTTTTTAAATATTAATTATTTAAATTTATAATCTATTATAGATTTATTTATAATAATAAAATTACTTTTTCTTATATAGATCTAATAATTATATTTATTAAGATTATTATTCTATCTTTTTATAGCTAGTAATAATATAGAGATAGATCTAATTATTAATATATTTATAGAGAATTATAATAATATTTCTCTAGTATTTAATTATTATTATAATCTAAGTTATTATATATAGTTCTAGTAGATAATATATTAAATTAAATTAATTTAGATTAAAATAGCTCTTTAAGTTTAATATCTATTTTAGTTAGTAATATTAGATAGAAGAGAATTAAATTAAATTAAATTAAATTATTAAAAAGTTTATTAAATAGAAAAGTTAAATTAAATAAGATTAATATAATAATATTTAGAATATAATAAATTAATTAATCTAATATTATTATAGATTATTTAAAGAAAATTATAATAACTAATTATAAAGTTATTATATATTAATAAAAACTAAATATAGTTTATATAGTAATAATTAAAATATATTATTAATTAATATAATAAACTAGAATTTAAATTAAAAATAGTAGAAAAAAAATATTATTATATAAATATAAATTATTTACTTCTTATAGGCTTTATAATATAATATTAGATCTAGTAATTATAACTACTAGATTTATATAATTAAGAGTAGTTTTATAATTATAAAGAATCTAGTAATAAAATATAAACTTAATTATTTTATATTATTAATAAGAATATAAAAATTCTTATTAATTATTATTATTATATAATTAAGAATCTAATTATATATAATAATTAGATTTTAATTATAAAAAATAATAATATTAAAGATATTTATTATTATAAGAAAAAATAATTAGTAATTAGTAATAATAAGTTTAGAAAAATATTATAATTAATTATAAATAATAAGTATTTTTCTTTAAAGCTTATAATTAAATTATATATTTAATAAGCTTTTTTAAAAGTTTTTAAAGAAATTATTATTTTATTTTAATTTATATAAATAAAAAAATTAAAAAATTAAAAATTAAAAATTAAATATAAATTAAAACTTAATTAAAAATAAATTATATAGAGCTAGTTATATATAATCTAATTTTAAAATATTTTTTATATATAATAAAAATCTTAAAATATATATATATATATATATATATATATAGATATTTTTTATTTTTTTTTTAAGATTTTTATTATATATAAAAAATATTCTAAGATTAGATTATATATAATTAAATCTATATAATTTATTTTTAATTAAATTTTAATTTATATTTAATTTTTAATTTTATTTTTTTTATTTTTTTATTTATATAAAATAAAATAAAATAATAATATTTTTAAAAACTCTAAAAAAAAGCTTATTAAATATATAATTTAATTATAAATTCTAAAAGAAAATATTTATTATTTATAATTAATTATAATATCTTTTTAAACTTATTATT